ATGCCTTATATTAATAATGTGTCCTCGCTAATAGATACATGAACATGTTCATTTTAAAGTGAATAAAGTACAAAACAATTATATAGATCTCAGTTCGTATTTACTTTCATCTTCTTAGATTATAGTATACTGTAGGATCAAATTGTTGACCAAAAACAATGGCAACAAATACCAATGGAAAGCAGAAAAACTAATTCTTGGTTCAAGAAAGAAGATAAGTGGGCTAGAATTGATAGAAGCTGAAGTTTGTTATTTCTAAAAGACAGGGAGACAGACACCCCGCAAAAGATAAATGTCGGAAGCATGTGAAGTGACAAGGAGAGCTATTGTTCGCACATATAGTATAAAGGATTAGAAACATGAAGAAGGAGAACCTGCCAGATATAACGTGATGTTTGCACCACACGTGACAGAATGATTAAACATAATACACTGGTATTGCATTAGACCATCAGATCATCACTAGTTTGAGAGGAATTTGCCTTCTTTCATTGAAAATTCACCGACAGTAAATAAATAAGCAAAAATATTTATACTTTTCAGAAAAACAAAAGTAAGTCACATTTATTTTATTGTAAGGATTGATAAAGGATGAATGATCTTTCATTACGACTTAATGATTTACAAAATGTTTTCTATAATCGAAATTGTTGAAATCTCTGAAATCAATATTTTGTCAGTATCCTGCCTTGGTTTCAAAGCAACAGTACTTAGAACATGCTCTTGGGTATCGAATTTTTAGTTGTGATATACGTATTTTGTAAACGCCATATGCAGATGATAGAGGTATATTTAATTATTTATACATACGTAAATAAAGTTGTCGATGAAAAGGTGAAGTTGTCTCGTTTGTGATACAATTCAATTCTCTATAGCCAGTAAAACATCCAAATATGAAACAAATTTCAAAATTCCTGTGGGTTTTTTTTAATTTGAAGTTTACTTGAGTTCATCGAATTGACATAAGACTGATTGTAACTGTTGTAAATTGATTAAACATCATTGATAATTGTCTCAAGTCGAGTCAAGGTCCAAAACAAGAGTTTCAGTTTTAGAATGATTTCTGCTTCACAGGAATATAAAAATAGGTCGTGTAATAAAGGAAAACAATAAATGCCCAGTTCCATTGTTGGAGGACTTGGTCCCCAAACACTACATAAATATTGTACATGAGGAACACCAGCATCATTTTCATATCAACTTCATATTGCTTGTGAGTAGAGTTGTTTTCAAAAATGTTAACTTGTTAATGACAATTCACACTTGATGAGTTCCATAAGTTAAAGAAGACGTTTATTTTTTAAAAAGTCTAATTTTTAATTTTGGTTATATGAAGCGTAAAAATAAATGTCTTATATGTACATTTTAATGCTACTGGCGTATAGAAAAATGGCGATTTTGAATTTTCTCAAACTCTCTGGAGTTTCGTAGATTCTACATCTGATTTATACTACATTAAGAATATGTTGTAGTACAGTAACTTTTGCAACTCTGCAAAAGTTAGGCTTAACATGTTCGCAAACAGTAAAGATATGAAATTGGTAAAGCATTTACTGGACAAGGGATTTTTATAAATCGAAAATCTTTTTTAAAAAAAATATTTAACTGTTAAAATAATTTGCATATGGCTAGTTTAAAATCACATAGAAAATCAATTTTAGGATATTCTACAAATTTTAGTGTTACAGAAAAAACTAAAGAAATTTCACATTAGGCTTAATATGACATTACGGTATCTGCCATAATATTCCACATAGTGGTGTTCAAATTCTCAAGTGTATAGATATTTCATAAGAGAAATATACGAATTTAAAATTTGAGCTTTGTTCAAAAGCATTGTAACCAACAGTAACAAGTTAAAGCAAAGAAATCTTTTTTAAAGACCAGCAAGTTGAAAAAGATGCATAATGCCTTTGTAATTTTAACCGATCTCGAATTGATAGAAATTTTCTCTGATACATGAAATACGAAAAACAATAGAGAGCAAATGATTAAAAAAGCATATACAAACATTTAGTATTTCTAAAAAAAAAAAAGGTGCATTGAGTGCTTATAGGATCTTGCTGGTAATGTTAAAATATAATCTCCCTAAAATATTTTTTAAAATGCAACAAAGAATGAAGCTGTAATTCAATCGATAATGTCAGCAAGCACACAACTTCAGTGATGATTAAATTTCAAGTTTTGTGCAAAATAAGGACGGAGATTAAAAAAACCAAGACAAATTGCTTAATTAAATAGCATCATATTCTATCCAGTGTTTGATTATACAATTTGATGCACGGATGTTGTGATTGTAAGACATGGCATCATATAAACCCATGTACAGGTATCGACATTTATATTATTTGTCGCTTTGACCTGAAAATCATTGAGAAATAGGAAAACCTTGTGGTACAGCCATGTGGAAAATAAAGGGTTATCTTTTACTTGTTTGTATATCAATGTACAGTAAGTAGCTTGTTTTTGTTTTTTATATCTAGATTTAGTTTCTTATGGTAAAATACTAAATTCTTACCATGTTTCATCAGTTTTATTGTAACCTAGGATGTTTTAAAAATCTTACACATATTAAATAAACTTTTCTGTAGTCAAATGATTTTTACCAGGATATGATGGTATAGTCTCATAATATGCTCATAAAATCGCATATAAAAATTCATAAATATAATTTTGTTCACAATGAAACATGAGGAGATAACGAACATTATTCGAGCTCAAATGTCCGTTAAATATTATAAAATATTAACAGAGCAAACACGGACCTCCAAAACATTAGAGATGGGATCAGGTGAGCGTCACCTGCCGACCGGTGACACACCATACGAGATAAAACTTAACATGTGTCCATGTGTCATGATTGGGATATTTTATATAAATTAAAAATCCTTGATCTGTATTTTCACACACATATATTACATATATATAATACGTGTAAATGTGTGGTGAAAAACATGTGTTTAACATATATATTATCAAGGTGTATTACACATGAAAATATATGTTTTACATATAAATGCACATATTTTACATGTGTTTATTTACACACATGATAATTTGTATTTGCTATGAACACATGTCATTTTTCCTGTGTATACGTGCAAGACATTTAGCTATGAATTTATGAAATAAAGCCGCTAAAAAGAATAGCCGATATTACTTTTACATCAAATTGTTTGTTTTCATCAACTTGTTTGTCAATAACTTTTAGAAATTATTCATCTGTAGAACATGCTCTTCCGTATCGGATCAACTGAGAAATATAAACTCTGTACGAGTATGCAAGTGACAAAGGTATTTTGCTGCATAAATAAGGGAAGTTGTCGATTGAAAAAGATAAAGTCATCACGTTTATCATAAGGCTTTGTTGTTAGATAACAATTTATGTCTTTTTCTCTAGTAAAAGATCCAAATATGAAACACATGTTTCAGATTCTGTAGTGTCTTTTATTTCAAGCTCACCATGGCCAGGATATATATGGTTATCGTTATAAGAAGGAGAATAACTATTGTAAATTGACGCCGTCGATAAATCTAAATGTCGAGTTGAAGACCGCAGCGAGTGTTTTTCTTTTCACGTAAAAGATTTTGAACTAATTATGCTTCAAAAATTCAAAAGTAGATCTGCGAATAATTGGGCGCAATTGATATTGGGAGTTCCAATAGATTGTTGGAAGACCTGGCCTCCGTAGACAGCACAGATATTGTCAATCGGAAATTCGAGCAGCCTTTAACATCAACTTCAGAGTACTTGAATGTACAATCAGAATATTTTCAACAAAGTAATTTTGCAAATGACCAATGACAGCGTAGTTAAATTCATGAGTTCCATTTTTATTGAAATTGCAGCAGTCAATGATGTCAGAAAGCCTTGACTTGAATGGTTGTATATAAAGTTGAAGTGTAATAAGTATTTTACAGCCCTAGCGTTGTTGCATCCTTTGAAAAAACAAAAAAAAAACACTCACATTAGAAAAAATATTTTGCATTTTCAAAAAAATATGTGTCAATCTACACAAATAATAATTCAATTAAACCATTTTCATTGTTTTATTAATTGTTAACTTTATCTAGTTACACCAATAATACCAGCAACGACAACTATTTCTACTAGCACTGCTGCCGGACAGGGGACATCTACCGTATCTTCTACAGTTGTAGAAACGACCACTTCTTCCGGGACAACCACACAGGCGACATCTACCGGATCTTCTACAGTTGTAGAAACGACCACTTCTTCCGGGACAACCACACAGGCGACATCTACCGGATCTTCTACAGTTGTAGATACGACCACTACTCCCGGTACTACCACACAGGCGACATCTACCGGATCTTCTACAGTTGTAGATACGACCATTACTTCCGGCACAACCACACAGGTGACATCTACCGGATCTTCGACAGTTACAGATACAACCACTACTCCCGGTACTACCACACAGGCAACATCTACCGGATCTTCTACAGTTGTAGAAACGACCACTACTTCCGGCACAACCACACAGGCGACATCTACTGGATCTTCTACAGTTGTAGATGCGACCATTACTTCCGGAACTACCACACAGGCGACATCTACCGGATCTTCTACAGTTACAGATACGACCACTTCTTCTGGCACAACCACACAGGTGACATCTACCGGATCTTCTACAGTTACAGGAGCCATCGTTACGTCAGGTATAAGCACTGATCAATCTACTTTAAAACATTGTTGTATCATTTCTTTGTTTTCCGACACAGTCTTGAATTTACCTGGGACTGTTCTATAGGCTGTACTTCAATATCAAAACAATAATAAGACATTGTAGCAATTTCATTTTACAATTCAGTAAAAAAAAAAACAGGTCAAAATTAGCATCTGAGTCAACGATAGTAATAAACGTTTTTTTTTTTTGTTTGATCAAAGTAGTGTTTAACTTATGTTAGAATTAAAAAAATATGTTTCAATAATCGCAGCTTTCAATACAAAGTATCAGTTCTTCATGATATTATTCATGCAGGGTTAATTATTGTTACTTAAATCCATTTGAGCATTACATGCCCATTGTTATTTCAAATCTACAATTTTTAGCATTAGGAAAAATTCTATCCAGAATAACTCTTAAAGTATACAAATAAGTTCCAAATTTGAAATAACTTTATCTATGAAAGTCTTGTTCATTCCATTACTTCATCAACAAATCCATTGAACTTATAAGAATTTTAATATTGTCAAAAATTTCTATTCAATAGGGGGCTGTAAAATTGATGTTTTATACGTCATTGAACGACAATATTACATAAGAAGCTACATAAACGATATCAACGGTTTCTTTTCCATACTCACCGAGGGACTAAAAAATGCTTCGTCTGGAATTGATCTGAAAGTTGGATTCCTGACGTATGACTATGATGTAGACAACGAGAAAGCTTTTACAAGTAATCTAACCCAGGTTACATTGGAGATTGAGAATATACAAATATCGTATTCTTCCTCTTATTATGCTAAGAAGGCACTTGAGTATGCATACTATGAGTTTGTGAAATTAAAGAACGGAAAACGGTCTGATGCTTACACTTACTACGTGTTGCTGAGTGCTTACAGAAGCAGTAGCTATCCGGCGGCAAATATAGGAACGCTTATCAGGAAATCCAATAAAAACAGATTGTTTGCAGTCGGTAAGTTTAGAGTTTTCTTGAGAAGGAAGGAAACAGTTTTGAGATTTTAGTCAAAAACAATATATTTAAAAGTACTGTAAAATCATATAAACATACTAACATTTCTAGGTTGGCGGCCAGGCTCTAGCCTGGAAACTGATTTGCTCGCGGCTGTCGGGGAAAGTGAAAACTATTTTGCTATCGATAGTATCAGCAGCGACCTTGTTCCACAAAGACAGGCGCTACTGGAGAGGATCCTTTCTTGTCCTTCTACCACAACAAGACCAGTTTTACCCAGTAGGTCTTTTTTGATACCGGGGGAATTACCTCAAGAAAGTATCAGTGTTATGGATAATGCATGCAATTTTGTTAACTATCGGTTGGAAAAGTAACCATGACATACAATTACATGTAACTCATTCTTTTTTTAACAGCCTGTAAGCTTGATGTTGCTTTCATAGTGGACAACTCGCGTTACATAGATGCAAAGTACACGTCAACATTTATCACCGAAGTTTTAGACGGTGTGGATATTTCTTCCGGTAACGTAAGAGTAGCCGTTGTAACATATACATCAACAGCAGTAACCCTGTTTGATTTAAACGCGTACAACTCCTCTGATAACCTTCGTCGGGCCGTTGAGGCCATGCCAACCACTTCTTCGTATTCTCGGTATCTGAACGTTGGTTTGGAGCATGCGCGTGATAGTGTTTTTACCTCAGTCAATGGAGACAGAGATGATGCCTGGAACTATTACGTCTTCACCGGAACTTCGTCATCAAACACAGATTCAATTGGCAGGGATATTCGAGCACAAGGAAATTCTTTTTTGTTTGCCATAGGTACAGCATTTATGTTACTAATTCTCAAATTTATTTATTTGTACCATTTTTTATGTATTGTAGTTCAAAATGTATAAATTTATAGGGGCGTGGTTTGTAATGCCATGGTTGTAATCCAAACATTATAACTCCAAAGCCTACGTATACTTCAAATGTATTATATTTAGCGGAAAGTGATTTTTAAACAAGTTCAATTTGATTTAGCGCATTTCTTGATATTCTTCTTCATGTACCATTGTTTAAGACTTGTATTAGCGGAAGTATCTTTCCGCCAAAAGCGCTAAAAAGAATACACCGCCAAATATAATACCTTTACAGTATGTTTATATTGTTTAGACATTGGAACATCGTACGCTTCGGAATGGAAAGCTACGATAGATACCTGTGGAGATGACTCTAAATATATCTATATTTCTAATGAAGAGAATCTTCCAACCATCATAAGAAATATTACGTCTCTTATAACGACATGTCCTCAGACTCCGCGTGAAACTCCTTCAGCAGGTCTCTCTCTCTCTCTGCGTCTTTCTCTTTCTTTCTGCCTGTCTGTTTCTTTATCTATCACTCTCTTTCTCCCTATGTGTCTCTCATTAACGAGATGAAATTTGAAAATAGTATGCTTGCTATTTGAAGTTTAGCAATTTTTATAACTGCAATATTTTGTTCATTGACAATACTTTCAACTGAAAAAATATCTACTAAAACAGCTTTGAAAAATCTAAATTAAAAAAATTGTTGTCTTGTCTTTTCTGATTTTTTTAATACATAGTTTAAGATACTAATACATGTACATATTGATGAATGAGACTTTCATGATTCATTACAGTGTCCACGCCATGTAAAATCGACCTTGTATTTCTACTGGATGACACCACTAGCATGTCGGCTGCGGAATTTGAGGACCAGAAATTATTTATCATTGACCTGATGAAGAGAATCAACATTTCCCAAGATGGTATCAAGGTTGCTGTTGTGACCTACGGAGACAATGGCTACATGGTATTCTCTCTGAACCGCTACAACACGTCAGCAGAAATACAAACCGCTGTTCAGAACATCGCCCGAGCCAACAGTGCCTATGGAAGATCGTACAGATACGCAGACAGAGCGATAGAGTACGCATCAGAGAATGTTTTCTCCAAAAACCACGGTGATCGGAAGGATGCATCGGATTACTATGTTATTCTGACTCACGGCTATGATTATGGGGAAGTAGAAGATTACGTACCTGTTCTGACGTCAGATCCAAACAACGAAGTCTTCATTTTAGGTTTGTTCAATTTATGTCACAGCGTAAAGTTTTCTTTCAGGCTGTTCTCGATGTTCAATATTGTCAAAATGTTATAAGTGTAAAGGTAATCAATGAAAATCAAGAATTCGTGTTCTAAATTTTTTTTTTAAAAATGATATTTATTCGCGCGTGGAAGCAAATTTCAATAAACATGTATTTACATCTCTTTATATATTATTCTCTGCTTGACTTTATATCTTTCAGTGATTGATTACTCCAGTACTGTGACGTACCGGTCAGCAGTGGACTCAGACCACTTCTTCTACTGGCCATCCTTCACAAGTCTGACCTGCAACAACCAGAACTTCCTGTCAAACTTTACCCAGTGTCCAACGTCCACTCCTACGTCCGTTAATATCACCACACCGGGTACGTCTTAAAGTTTGCAAACAAAAGCATTACCACCACTGAATGACACAAAGTTCTTTAAAAGATAATTTATGCTTAAGAATTGTTTTTTTAAATACTTGTGTCATATGTTTAGCATATTTGGTGACTAACTCTATTTTCAGAAGAATCTAAAACACCGATTATAGAGATTTATCTTGCATTGCATTTTTTTATAAAAAGATTTCCCTTGAATATTATTTGTAGATTGCAAGTTAGACGTCGTTTTCATAATTGAACGCAGTTCATCGTCGAGGGATGAAAACTTCCTGCACCTGAAATATTTCTTTGCAAACCTTGCATCTCAGATACACGTATCACCAGATATAATCAGGATCGCTGCTATAACGTACAATAGCGATGAAACAACGGTGTTTAATCTTTCAACATATTTTACTTCCGCTGAGGTCGCTTATGCGATTAAACAAATCCCTGATGAAGACACGGTATCAGGCAATTACATTGACAACGCCCTGACTTATGCTCAAACCGACATCTTTACAGCAACCAACGGAGATCGAGCCGATGCTGACAACTTTTATGTGTTTTCTGTTGATGGCAGTCGCTCAGGAACGGCAACTCAGGGACAACAGATACGTCAGAATCCAACCAATCATATTTTCGCCATAGGTACGGGTATTCGTTTAGAAGAATGTGTATTAAGATTATCTATAGTTATTAACCCATTTATTGCGTTTTGGCAGGTACTTTTTCCATTCTTTAAACTATGCCTGTTTGTCTCTTTATTTGCCAAATCATATATCATGTTTTAGCGCACTGTCACAAAGAAGTAAAACTGAGGCTTTACGTCTTTTTCTTCATAATTCAACTGTTTAAAAGATGATTTTGATATCACGGCTGCTAGAGCCATTTTTTGTAAACAAATTGTCAGAAGATCAAGTAAACAATAACGAAAAAAATCTTGTCACTGTATTTTTCAAGCATTGAAACAAACTTCCAGCACAACATGGTATTTGAAAAGAACTTGTCTCAGTTCTTAAAAATAATCATTTGCAGGGGTCCCTGTCCGCTTTAGTTGTTTTTTACCATTGAGATATTTTATAGGACATGACCACTAAAAACTAAAGATAAATGTACTGATTCCATACCATTTTTAAGATAAGAGTACTTTCAATGGACTTTTCATATTACATTCTGCCTTAAGTTATTTAAATAATGTCATTTTTTCCCGCGTCCCCTCTTTATTTCTATGTTAGAGGGGCTATACTGATTTTTTCAGATATTGGTAGTGGCTATTCATCGGAATGGAAAAATTCTGTTGGGGATGAAGAGAAGTATTTTTATGCTTCGTCTTACGCCACACTTTCATCTATAGAATCTGACGTTCTTGCAGCAATTACTACTTGCCAAATAACAACAACAACTACACAAACGACAACCACTACACAGGTCGTCACGACAACACCCGAAACAACTCCATCAACAGGGACAACTTCCACGACAACACACCAGGCCACTTCACCAACAGAGTCAACCACCACCACGACATCTCACACCTCCACACCAACAGAGTCAATCACCACAACAACTTCTCAGGCTTCCACATCCACTAAGACAACAACAACCACGACATCTCAGGCTTCCACTTCAACAGAACCCACCACCACGACTCTTACATCAACACAGCCAGCAGGTTCTTCATCAGCTTCAACAACTTTGACATCAGCTCAGGTTACCACTTCAACAGAAACAACAATCACGGCAACATCCCAAGCTACCTCAACAACACAACCGACAACTTCGACAACTCATCAAGTATCTACAACAAGTTCTCAGGCCACTACAACAACACAGCCGAAAACAACGACAACTTCTGAAGTTCCACAAACAACACTTTCTACAAAGACAGAGACTCAAGGAGCTACAGTTACAGATATAAAAACCACATCTCCGGGCACAACATCATCAGAGCCAACATTAACAACACAACCGACATCATCAACAGAATCAACAACTTTGACAACAACACAAGAAAAAACAACAGGGATAATGACAGAGACAACACCTCAAGCTACAACGACAACAGAGCCAAAAATTGTGACAACATTCCAATCTATCACATCTGGATCTGCAATGCCAATATCAATATCATCTACTTCTACACTACTTGATACTACGACACAATCAACAAGTGCTGCCACAACTACTACAGCAAAGATGACAACAACGACAGCAGCTCAAACTACCACAAAGCCTCCACAGACAAGTAAAATCATCCAGAAAATTTTCACAGCAACTTACCTTACACACTATTCAAATACATCGTGTTTTGTAAAAAAAAAATCAAATCTTTTTTCTTCACAGACTAACAGTATTTTCATTCTGTGTGTTTTAGAATGTGGGGGAAAATCAATGTCGTACACTGACTTCAATTCCCTTAAGTCTGGTGTAGACAATGACATTGGTAAGTGTCGTGAGTCTTTTCTACATAAATCTAGATTTTTTCTGTCATATCTGTATATAAATCTTGTTTTGCGTCGTTTTGTAGATAAAATGTATCTATTTACTGATACAACTTTCATCCTGACTTGCTGCGGCCGGATCTCGGAATGGGAGATCCACCACTCTGTTTCCGGTTATCTAGATCTAATAGTCTGGAGACCGACAGCTGCAGGCAAATACAGAATTGTGGGATACAATTCTATCCTAGTTTACGGTTCGTTTGTATTTATTTTACCAACTATACGAATAGACAAAAGATAAAGATTTATGCATTTTTGAAGTTTGTGGGGTTTAATATAAAGCTTTTTTTCATTGTTTCGTAATAGGAGCCAATACTACAAAATTTTCTGTGTTGGAAAATGAAAGAATAGCTGTTGTAACAGGAGATTTGATTGGATGGTAAAAAGTATTAGAGTGAGAATATAAATAGTGCTCAAGCATCCATGTATATTTGATATCAGGTTTAAAATTGATATCAAATTGGGAGAGCAAAGAAAATTAAAAAATAAGAAATTAAGTAAAAAGAAATAATCTAGGAAAACAACAGAGCTTAAACAGAGCAATAAAATTGATCATATGATGAAAAAAAATCATTTTGAATAATAGTCACAAAGCAAAGCAGAAATATAAGAAACGATTTATCCAAACCTAGGCGCTGCCTCTCTAAGAATGTTGTGACGTATGGAAACTGTGTTGGTTCCCCGGGGTGTCCTACTAAAACCAGGAAAGCTGCTGGTCTGGGCAGTCTGGCAGCTGGGTCCGAGTTTGACTGGGACAAAGACTCCACCGTCCTGTCCGGCCTGGCTTATGCTGTAAAATTTACACTAGAAGACAGTATGAACAAAAGCTTTGCTCAGTTAAAGACAGATGATACAAACAAACATTTGTCAAACGAATTGTAAATATCAACTTGAGTCATGTTTTAATGAGTAAAATGGACAATTTTCACCGCGTAGTTTTTAATTTTCTATTCCAATTTTCACAAAAAATGGATTTGAAGTAAAAAATATTTCATATTTGTAAAGATCAATATGGATGGTTGCAGAAGGGTAGAACTTTGAACATCAAAGAAGGTTTACAATTTCTTAATATTATAGAAATTTATTGTTTGCATCATTTGCAGCAAAAATAGGCCCAGAAATATATATCAATCCAGGTATCCATTTTTGGTTTGTATCATCTGACTTTACGTAGTCGGAGGGAGTCTGAAAACATTGTCACTGTATATTTTTTTGTCAGTAATAATTAGTAGATGAAAGTGAAACATCCCTGTGTTCAAACATTTAGATACCCCAATTCAGTTCCCATCACAGAACATTAGTGTTAGGGACCATATTGAACCTGGAGGCTATGTGGCGGATCTACGATTGGAAGGAGTGGACTATATGGAGGATGTTACGTATCAACTCCTGCCAGACGCCATAGATCCCAATCAAACATGGACATATTTCACAGTGAATTCTAAAGGTAGGGGATAGTAAAAACAGAGGTAGCCTAACTATTTCTATTTAAAAACAAAAACTTCCACGACTTAAACTAAAATAATTTCATTATATTTTTGGCAGGAAGATTGAGAACTACACGTCGCTTGATTCAGTCAAGGAATCTGAACATGTACCATATGACAGTAAATGCAGAGGACTCATGCGATAATAAGGCCACAATATTACTCGAGATCGCCACACAAAACTGGGTAAGAGCTCTCAAAGTTATTTGACCTTTCCGTTTTACAATGTGGAGAAAAACATTTCGGAAACTTTTAATTTTAACTTGAATGCTGTTGGTTTTTCCAGCCTCCCTTTATACATTCTCTTCCCAACTCTATCTCAATTGAGGAGGACACTCCCCAAAATAAAATCATTTACACCACTAATGTCACCGACGCATACGGGGACCCTGTGTGTTGCACATTGTCCAATACTCACCCGCAGACCTTTAACTTCAACGTCACCAATGACCCTCCAGGCTCCAGCGTGTACCACGTGACAACCACCAGCATCGCTAAGTTTGTGTACGAAGACTTTAACTCCTATCTGGTGTACATGTGCTGTGATGATACCGAGGATCGGGCCCAGGGCGTTCTGACTGTGAACATCAAAAAACCAGTAAAACAGACGGTGTACAAACCACCACGTAAGCTTTTATTTCTAAGAGACTATGATTTTACAAATCTTTAGGCATCATCTTTTTTTCTGCAAGACCTTATAAACTTGAGTACCAAAAAGAAAAAAAGTGTAAGGTTTTCAACTTTAAAACATTGTAGGGTTTTCTATTCTGTTTTTCAGAATGGTTCTTCACATCTATCATTGCTGCATTGGTGCCTATCACAATCATCTTCTGTTCTGCATGTGGGCTATTATGCCACACTATGTTTGCAACCTAATTCCTCATGTAAAGCAACCACAGAAATCTACGTAGAAAGACTGTGCTGTAATGTTAAAATGTATGAAAGAATCTCCTGTGTGATGGAGTAAAATTGAAATCATCATAGTAATTGAGAATAGCCAATGATGGCCATCATTACGATGACTCTATTGCAAGAAAACTGAAAATGTGCTATTAAGCTTTTCAGTTATAAATATCGTAAAACAACAATAACCTGTATATACAGTTAATGAATCAAAAGTTCGTCATTTGGAAGAATACAAATGTATCGAAGACTCTTCCTGAAGTTTTAGTGGTCAGTGTGTGCTCTGTTTACAATGTGTTTCATTTCAATTGACTTTTAAACATGATTACTGTTCATTACTTTCCCATCTCATTCCTCTCATTTGAAATCTCTACAAAACAATTTCATTATGTATTTCTTTCATACAAAGGCACTAATCTTTTCTGAAGTCTAAAGCATGAAACTTATATCAAACTCAGAAATAAGTACAATTTCAAATTTTTTTTTTAAATAGAAGAGTGAAACGAAATTTCCCATATTCACTTTCATCATAGAGAAAAAAAACACATAATTTTTTTAATCTGTTAGTAAGGATGAAAAAGAACTGTACATCTAGAGTGCGAAAATCAGATATTGTTTAAGAGAATACTGGTTTCCTTTTACAATTAAAATACAATTAATGATATGAATGATCGTTTTTCTATCATAAAAAAATCGAAGCTAATTTGAAATACCCCATTATACTCCCCGAAAATAAGTTTATATATTGATTATACTTACGGGGGTCATAAATGAGGTCTGCTTGATAAGTAAACAAGTCTGAGTTTATCAATTATTGCAGATTTGTTTACATCATTCATTGATAATGGTAGGTTCTTGCGCAGGAATAGTCATGAGAAATCCCAGAATTTCATAATATAGAGTAGTCCGTAATAGTACAACAGTAGTTCGCGCGTGCTCATTTCGGATGACCTCTGACCGCTGGACAGACTGACCATTACTTATAAGACTTGATGTCTCGTACAGGTAAATAGACAGACGAAAGATTTAAAGACACATTCAACACCATGAGAATCATCTTTGCTTTCGCTCTCCTGATTGTAGCAGGTATGTATGTGAATTGCTATGATAAATACTGCTATTTGTAAAAGGAGGCCATCATATTTTCTTAAAAATGAGAAGATAGTCTACACTCTGCCAGTAAGTAGATCTTTTTTCTTTCTTTTTTTATAGAAAACAATGTAGCTCTTTTTCCACTTCTTTGTCAATTTTCTTTTTGAAAATTCCTTGGAAACAACACTTTGTAAAAACATAAATTCTCTTAGTAAAGCAACATAAGAATTTCACATATAAAGGAGTTTATCTGTCAGTTGAGAATGTATCTACGTATGAACATCCTTAAAACGAGGCAGGCTATAGACAAGTAAGTCCGCGACGCAGGGATATTTACGGTCTCGTTTAAAATATCCCAGCAACTTAAAAAAGATAAAACAAATAAAATGTTGATGCGCTATTTTTTCAGTATACTCTGAGACATGCAACCGACACGAAGAATGTAAAAACACAATATGTGGTACTGGGGCCGAGATACACTGCATCTTCCACACGTGCACGTGCACAATGGCTGCCAGTAGCGGAGGTTAGGCAATAGCAAGAAGATACAGTTTTATTTAAGAACACTTGTGATAGGTGGTTCGATTTTTTAAAAACTTATTAATTCACGGTTTAAACAAAAACAAATATTAAGGACAGATGATACAAACAACTTTTTGTCAAAAATTTTGAAAATAATAACTTAGGTCATATTTTAATGAATAAAATGAATAAGTTTCACCGCGTAAGTTTTATTCAAAATTGCAGAAAGATGGAAAATGAAGTGAAAAATATTTTTATAGAATAATAAGGATGGTCTCAGAAGGGTAGAATTTTGAATGTCGCAGAAATTTTACAATTTAAAGATATTCTAGAAATTTATTGTTTGCATCAATTTTGCAATGAAATAAGGTCAAAGAATATATACCAATCCATGAATATATACCAATCCAGGCATCAATTCTTTGTTTGTATCATCTGACCGTAAAGAAAACTGTATCAAAGTAATCAATTTTGCTAGTCAATTTATTTAAGATAACAAATATTCTTTTTTAGCAACATGCACCACGTTGTCCGACTGCCATGACAGGTGTTCTTTTGGTCGCCAGCATCACTGTATTGACGGCCATTGCCGATGTACCCACTTTTAACATAGCAACCTACATTGTCGATGTACTTTTTAAAAAACAAAACAAAACATTTTTTAGAGAAATAAATTATATTTAGATAGCAAAAGATTTGACTTTCTATCTTAAGAGTTTTCATTTGTGGCCTGAAATATTTTGGCCACATCCATGATTTCATGACACTATAATTCTTTTAGAGTAGAAAACAAACATTTGGTTAAAGAATGATTAAATTACATATTGATATGACAATAAATGACGGCGAAGGAAGAAAGTAGTTTAATATCCACAAAATTTTGTAAGTTGAGGGACAATATGACTATTTTGAATTCTGAATTTCGATGCATGTGTATTGATGTAGATATTTCCAAGGATATTAATATTATATAGTTATAGTAATAGGATTCATCCAAGGAAGTATTCTGAGCTACAAGTGTTCCAAAATATAATTATATATTATAAAAATTTATGGAGCAGAAAATGCTTTCACTTTCGCTGATTTACTAACCGGATGCAACTTTTGCATGCCTGTAAAATCTACACCAAGAGATAAAATTATATTTGCTTAACGTTTACTTGGTACCTAACAAATTAGATCAAATGGCAATGAAGTTTAACAAAACAGATAATCCCTTTACTGTGTAGCTTAAAGCTTTTGTGCTGGTCTAGGTCGTTTGAGGGATCAGTGGGTCAGGAAAAGATCAACAGACTTGTACGGAAGAATTGGTTTACAGGTTTTTGACAATTAACTCTCAATAGATAAAGATCTGATTGGATTGTGAAGAAGCACACCCAAAGTGCTTTTTTCCTTTCGAGGTAAGTAATTGTCCATATCGTAATAATTATTACGATCGGAACATTTTCTTAACCCCCAACGGAATATGTGTTTGCTAGCCATTAGGGGTCCAAAAGTAAGTGCAATGTACTGGTGTAAAACTTGCTGTGTGTTCATGGTCTTCTTGATTCATCAGCTTACGTGTCAATAACATACCTTGTTTTAGAAACTGAAAATATGTTTATGAATATATATATTGTGTAAAATATATGAAGATTGTAGATAATTAATGGTTTTAAAATTTTCGTCCAATTTCCATTTAATCACCAGAGTGAAAACAAAATTTACATGACCGTTTGCACACATCTTCTGCTTACCCCAGTCAAACTGAGCCGGTAACTGCATAAAAGTGAAATTTTGAGAACCAATATTTTGTAAAATAAAGAAGAGTATCTTTTTTGAATACGATTCCCACTTTGAATATGTAAAATCTAAAATCTAACCGCACATTAACAGAATTTACAGAATTCCATCAATCATCTTGCAAAAGAAGAACCGGATACTGCGTTAAATTAAAGTGGAGTTTGGGGAACTAATATTTTGTAAATAAAGAAATGTGTCTTTTTTGACTACCATTCCTACTGTAAAAAATTAAGTTCCAAGACCTAATTGCACATCTACAGAATGTCCTCAGTCGTCTAGAAAAAGTTGAGAATGCTGATTTTTGTAATTTAAATTATGTCGTATTCGGCCTCCATTTGACTATGAGGGTGTGCAGATCAAAAGTTCACAAAATATGAGCAGAGTAAACATGGACCTCCAAAACATCAGATGTGGGATCAGATGCCATGGAGGAGTGAGCATCTCCTACCGACCGGTCACACTCGCCGTATGCTCCTTGTCATGATCGGGAAATAACGAAAAAAATCCGTCGTTAATTCAGTTTATAAATAATGGACTAACAGTTATATGTTAGTAAGCATTTGACTCATGATAAATTGTATTTGTTGACAGGGTCATTGTATCGACCATAGAACGAACTTACAAAATGATGATTCAAAACGAGAAAGCTGATCTTGCTCATCAACTTATTTGTCAAAAATTTACCTCGTTTTAGAAATTGTTCATACGTAGAGTATGCTCCTGTGTATCGATTCAACAGAGATATATAAACTCTGTTTGCAGGTGATGAAGGTATATTGCTGCATAAGTAAGGAAAGTTGACGATTGTAAAGTCATTACGTTTATCATAGAGCTTGGTTGTTAGATTACCATTGACGTCTTTTTCAAGTAAAATATCCAAATATGAAACGGATGTGTCAGACTCTGTGGTATCTTTTATCCCAAGTTCAACGGGAATATATCGTATCAACATAAGAATGGAAAATCGTCGATATATCTAAATGTCGAGTTGAGGGCCAAAGCAAGTATTTTCTTCTTTTTACGTGTAAGATTTTGAACAAAGTCTGCTTCCTATGAATACAGAAATAGGTCTGCTAATAACAGGTTATCTAACAATTGGTATCTTTGGGAATTCAAATAGATTATTGAAAGTCATGGTCCCCAAAAACCACATAAATATTGTCAATCAAAAACTCAAGCATCTTTTTGATATCAACTTAAGTGTATTTGTGTGTACAATCCAAATGTTTTTCTTTTTAAATAATTGGAATTTTTAAGGATCCACATCTGATTTACCTTACTTCTTGAATATATTGTTGTCTTGAAGTTTCTCCTTCACTACTTTGAATATCTTAGTGAGGAGTAAATAAAGGGGCTTGGTTGAGGAGGATATACTGGAACCCGCTATGTATCTTTGTTTGCAAAATACTATTCAGAAAAATGTCAGCGGAGTTTTGAAATTCAGATATCATATCATGAAAGCGTTTTAAACCCCCATTTCTCCACTCCACTGCAAGAAAAGGGAAATTTTAAAACCTTATTATGTTTTCAAAAATACAACAAAACATCGCAGATGATTTAGAATTTTGTTGCAGTAGATTGTCAGCACGAAAAGAATTATAGGTCTTGTATTTTCAAAACATATATATTAAGTAGTTTTCAAAATGTAAAACAATGTGTACGTTCACACATATCCAAATAATTTTCATCATTGATACCAGAACAGATATTTATAGGTGCAACAGCTGTACAAAACTGCATTATATATACTTTTTGTTATATGTATGTTTCGTAACGTTTAAATAAAAAAAACTTCCTGCATGCTTCCTCCTCCACAAGGAAACCACACAGCGAGGTATCCGAAATAAATGAGTAATCGGTGAATCAGGGCCTGCATTTACTTCAGTAATAAGTCTATAGCAATGAATAACTCCACTTCTTCTTTAGAGAAATTGGAAAAATGGAATAATGAGCTTGCAAGAGGACTAGTTGTTAATAACGTGATTTTGTCTTTATACATCATTATCGGTCTGCTTGGAAATGTTACTGTTATTTTTATTTACGGTTTTAAGATGAAAGGCAATAACGAGGAGAGGTATTTCATTCCTTTTCTTGCTGTGGTGGATCTAGTAGCCTCCATTTCTTGTGCTGGCTTTGCAATAGCTTTAAACATGATGCAGGTAACATTCAGTGACACAGTATTATGTAAATTCTTCCGGTTCCTTGGATCGTTTCCAGCTTTTACTTCGGTTCTATTTCTTCTAATCATCGCAGTGCACAGATATTTAAAGGTATGCACACCTTTCAGAAAACAGATGACACTTAAATGGAAAAGACTGGCCCTTTGCTTGGGAGTACTGGTAGCATTTGTCTTAGCCTTACCAATGGCTTATTTCTATGGATCAACACCCTTCTCTAAAAAGGAAGAAGGACTTTTTGGATACCATTGCAGCAGGTTGAAAACGGTCAATAAAACAGCATCTTTGATCTTTGGAAGTACTACAGTTCTAACCACCGTATCTGTTATTGTTGCACTTATTTGTCTTTACTCAAGAATAGGATATACGATCCTTAAACATTTCAAACGCAAGAAAACCGTTCGCAAGAAAAAAGGAAATGAGACCACTGAAAACCTTCCCAACGCAATTGACTTAAACTTACAAACTGGAGTCTCCAGTAGTGAGAACATGCAAAGTGACTCGGAAATTGGAATTAATTCTATTGAAGCAGACAGTTTAATAAGCTCAGTTGCCTCTAATACACATCAGTCAACAGGTACATTGAATAGTCCAACATATGTGCCACCTGGAGGTAACCCAGTTCTGTATAAATCAAGTGCAAAACTAAGAAAAGAACAAACCAACAAGAGGGTCGTCTATAAGTTTACCCTGATGTTCATGCTAATCAGTATCTTTTTCCTCATCTGCTACATCCCAAAGGTCATCCTCATGCTGCTTGAAGCGATACATTTAGAATTTTGGGAGACATTTTCTGATTCTACAAGAGCTGGTATTTTGTTTGTTTATAGAATGTACATCATTAACAATATCGTTAATCCATTCATCTATGCTTTTCTCGACCATCAATTTACAACGGAGATCAAAAAGTTATTCAAAAACTGCAGTAAAGCAAACTAGATAAAAACATCACAATAAAAATGTCACTGGACTTTCATTTTTATTTATTAAAAAAATGATTGTACATTTTCTTTTCATATGCTTAAACGTAACTTCATGAATTTCGATGAATATCCCATATAATTTTTTGTTGTTTTTACATCTCATTCTCTCATTCGAGGATGCCTTACTCAAACAAAATAGTCACCATATACCGATTAAGAGTTTCAAATGACCTATTTTCTGCACCCAGGGACATTCTGAAGAGAAAATTCTATCGTGCCAACATTTGTTCTGAAGCAAAACTTTGCTTTAAAAGGTCTCATCCGAAAGACCCGTGGTTTTCAATTAAAATAATGGTTCTTAGCAAAGGATTAATTATTACCATTGTTTAGTCTTAGGTTTGACTACTTACGTGACACACCATTTGTGTGAATTTTTTTATGTTCCTGTAAAAGGAGAATTCTATAGTTGGTCCAGCAATAAAATAATTACCTAACAATTCGTATGGAAGATATTCAAGTCAACGTTTGAACAAAGAAAACTGAATTCTCAGGGAAGATCATTTCATGATTGAATTGATTTTTGACATACATGTAAAATTTTTATCTCTGAAATTACTTTACATGCATTATATGCAAATACCATAACCCTTGAGTAAATTATTTGGAACAACTTATAAATATAAAACTAATGTACTATATAAAAAGCAAGACTTAACTATCACTACATTTTGTTTTGCATGTACTTTTAATTGGTAAATAAAATAACTTCCTTCTTTATTTCCTGGCGTGGCTTGGTCATGACACTCCTAGAATTAGCTTTGGATTCATTCTTTGCATTACGGCACATAATACTCATTTATGAGTTTCCTTTATTAATACTAAATTACTCCTCTTGATGGAAATCAATCTGTTGAAAAAAGTCCACTAGGATGTTTGACAAACGCAGAACTACTTTTTCTTGACACTTTAGATCTACTGTTTCATTTTAACCACAGGAACATCGAACTTCCTGAGTTGTACAATATCCTATCCTCATCTAAAAAAATACATATTACAAGTAAATATCTGTTACCGCATAGTATCCATAGTGTCTCCTCTTCAATTCATAGATTAACAGAGATAAGGAAGAGTCTTCTGGATTTTTCCTATAAAGTAAATAATGAAATGCTTTTTAGCTCGTTGATGAGGAATTTTTTATAAATGAAAAATGCAACCGTTAATCTTTACAAAATTTATAGCTGGATGAATTATTTGTATAAAATGGATAAAAGAACGTTAAGTATTTTGATATAGATTCGTACTTTACATTGATGGTAAAGCACATTTTTTCTTTCAAACAGATGGCTTAAAACAATTTTAACAAGTAGCAGCAGTTCATAAGAATTTACACCATTAGGCAAAAATGCAGAAGATACATTTTCAGATATTTAATTTTTTTCATACTGAATCAGACTACAGACTGACTGATTACTAGTATCACAATGGGACTCGCGTGGATGTTGCTGGTCTGCAGGGAATGGATACCGGATTCCATCTCTGGAATTTTCAGGAATCTGTACTGAACGCCATCTTTGCAAATTTGTATTGATTTTAAGGAGACTGGGGGGGGGGGGGGGTCAACAAATTAACCTCCAGGGATTTAACTTAATTTTTTAGATATGATATCTTAAGCTGTCAACTATCATTTGGCAAAGAAAAATTTCATACATGTTAGTTATAAAATTTGATCATTTTTTAATATCTTTATATGGGGCTCTTCTTCTTAAGGAGGTCAAAATAGTCTGAAAATGGCCACCCCACCCCACCCCCCGCCACGCCACTTTAAGGTAAAAGGTGAAGATAATAAATATTGATTGATCTGAAAATTCTACACTATAGAATTATGGAAAGATGGCATAACGCAGCAACCCCCGGAAATTTCAGAGCTGGGATCAGGTGCCTGTTAGGAGTAAGTATCTTGTGTTTTTACTAAGCAATAGCAGCATATGCCTTTTTCACCAAAATATCAATGCCTATTATGTTATCTTTGGACAATTTTTGAACGTTTGAGAAAACACACATTTTCAGTACAAAAAGAATGTTATGAAATGAAATCAAATGCAAGGAAATGGACATTATATTTTGCAGGCGTATGGCGCAATATAAAACTAATTTTTTTAAAAGCTTCTATTAAAGTATGAAATGAAGATTTATTTTCAAATCCGATAATCCCTGTGTTTTTTTTTAAACAAACTTTTCTTACACCGATATAAAAGTTATGTACAAATAAATAATGTACAAATAAATAGGGATAGCTAGATTGACGAAAAAGTAACAAAAAGAGGCAGAGACGTTTATAAAAAATAAAATCTAATGTAGAGAGAATCATATGTACATGTAATTCCCCCAATATGCATTATGAGGTAAGTGAGTTATAAAAATGTGAAGATGGATCGTGACAAACATGTATGTCTTATATTCATGAAATTTCATTGCATGTTATTATATTATCTTTGTGTTCCAAAAAAAGAACGGTTTTTATCTATATTTGCTTCTGCCTTATAAATGAATGCAATGCAGTTTTGACCACCAGTCTGTCTGAGCCTTCAATCATGAAAACCTTATTTGTTTTGGCTGTCCTGATCGCAGCAGGTAAGTTTCTTAATTATTTTGAAGTGTAAAGATGACAAAATATTAGAAATGTTTTAGTAACTTCAAAATATGAAGAAAATTTTTAGATGGGCATTGCATATAAATTTTAGAACATACCTTAAGTTTTTGAGCGAATTCTACTTCATAGGAGTACAAAAACAGATATGCTTATATTGCAACACAGTTAGAAACCGCTGGAATTTCAACAGATTATTGGAAGACCCAACTCCGAAAACTTAAGTCATATGGTTAATGAGAAACTCAAATATTTTCAATATCAACCTCTGATCACTTGTACATATAATTCTTAAACGAATTGTAAATATCGACAGCGTTTAACCAACTTAATGTACAATTACAGGTAACTTAATGTACACGTTTTAAATGTTGAAAATACAAAATATTTTCTGAACTTTATTAGAAAATGAATTTTCTATTTCATACACATTTATTCATGAATATAAAACATTTGTATATGAAATGTTCAACAGTATATCATTTTTGGAAACGGCAATTCCTATTGCCAAGAAGACACATGTGTAATATTCTGATGTAAAATAAATGTACAACATCCACATCCAGAAGTTTGTTTATTAATAAACAAATATACGTCTTATCCTCTTCACAATATTTGTACATGAAAGCCTGACGTAGTAGATCAAATTAATGAACGTTTAAAAATATATGTATCCAACAGCAATTTAGATTTTAAAAGAGAAAGGCATATTTCCTCATTAAATGATAATCTCACTAGATGCACTGAAGGTGGAATTATTTTTGGGGCAGGGATCACAAATTTTTATCTTTTTCATACACTTGCCATCCTTTGAATCCCCCATATTTCCAAGAATTATTTCATTTACTGTCTGTTGCTGTTCGTTGTTGGTTCAATTATAGGTTCAAACTGTAACAGATTTGTGGCCCGTTTTTCTAAGTTATTAGCTGTTCCTCAATCTCACTTTCATACAAGCGGGTCGCCGCTTTTGTTCTCAAAGAACGTTTCGTATAGTGTCCCTTAAATCCTTATTATTCTTTATATCCAGGAGACCATTAAAATATACCACAAAGTCTGATATATTTGTTTCATACTTGGATATTTTACTTGAAAAAGACGTCAATGGTAATCTAACAACCAAGCTATATGATAAATGCGATGACTTTAACTTTTCTATCGTCAACATCCCTTACTTATGCAGCATTATACCTTCATCACCTGCATACGGAGTGTATACATTTCAGATGATTCGATACGCAAGAGCATGCTCTACGTATGAGCAATTTCTAAAACGAGGTAAATTATTGACAAGCGAGTTGATGAAACAAGAATATCAGCAGTCTCGTTTAAAGTCATCATTTCCTAAGATGTATGGTCGATAAAATGAACTTGTCAGCAGATACAATTTATCATTAAGTCAAATGCTGACTGACGTTTTTCTTACTAATTTTTAGTCCATTATTTATACACTGAATTGACGACGGATTTTTCCGTTATTTTTCGATCATGACAAGGAGCACACGTCGGGTGTGACCGGTCAGCAGGAGATGCTCACTCCTCCATGGCACCTGATACCACCTCTGATGTTTTGGAGGTCCGTGTTTGCTCTGCTCCTATTTTGTATTGTTTATGGACTTTGATGTTGAATACTGTTCGCCATCTCCATATCCTTCTCACAATGATTTATTATAGTTTTGGTCAAGCATGAACACCAACTTCAGATTCTGCATACCTGCAGGTTTCGCTTGTGTCTACCTACTTTAAATAGAGTATTTAACACCCTTTGACATGTATGTTTTGGAGAAATATATATCACTTTCTCCATCAGATGAGCTTCTCTCTTGAAGCTTTTCATTGGAAGTAATCAGAGATCAAGTGAGTTATTATTTAAATTTACCTGAATCTTTCAAGTTAAACAATATAGCAATATTTTCATCTCTTTTGTTTCTCCCCTCACTCTCTGCACAAGCAAGTGTTTTACGTAACCATAGTCATCAACTGGGACGGTTTATCAAGTTAACAATAGAGAAAATGTTTTAAGTAGGATCCCTTCGGGCTTCAAACAGTTCTTTCTCTCACAGAAATGACAGTTTTCGGACTTTCTCCTTTACATAAGTTTGCAGATAAACTAGACCTTAATATTTTTTTTTTAAATTCAAAAATATATAACTTACATTTTGTTCTATAGATCTTTTTGTTTGTATATGTTACAATTTTAAGTTTTAAATTATTGATATAAAAGTACATCATTAATGAGCTTCATTGCATTTTATTCAATTCTGGGCATCTGCCTTCCATGTTTACTACATTGTAGAAGTAATATTGTGCAATTATGTATCCCCTTCATGATTGATCCGATCATCTTATACTACCCTTTACGCAGTAATTCAACAGATAAAGAAGATTGTCATAAACGCATAAAAACTTCTATACCTGAATGACATTGAATGATTGTTTAACACTTGTGTTTCAGTCTATTCGGAGAACTGCAGGCGACACGACGACTGCACAACCACAACCTGTGGAACTGGGTCCGAAATACACTGTATCTTCCACACGTGTACCTGCACGACAGCAGGCGGAGGTAGGCCTTAATACTGTACTGTCTAAATATAGAATGACGTCATTATGATTTCAATATGGTGTAACTGTAGATAATGGGATTATAATGTATGTAATATTCTTTTCATCAATTATTCAACATAAAAGAGTTATTAAGCATAATTTAAAATTATATAAAAAAAATACTTGATAATGTATAATTATGGCTCATTTAATTATGATCTATTCAAATCATCTATTTTTAGCAACATGCACCATGGCGTCAGATTGTCACGACAGGTGCACCTTTGGTCGCCAGCATCACTGTATTGACGGACATTGCCGATGTACTATCTTGTAATTCATCAATTAACATTGCACTATGTTCTTGTCTTATATACTAGTAGTTGCTGTGATCATCATAAATAAATAAATAAAAACTGGAATAAAGTTAGCATGTCTTCTAGTATTATTCAGAAATCATCATTATATTTTAAAAGTCACTTAAAGGTTCTCAACGGGAAATGTTGAAGTCCCGTTGAAAAAAAATATTATCTTATATATTAATTAAAAACCGAAGAATATACAGGAAGCTTTTACAATAATACTTTTACATCCAAAGGGCTTTATTCTAATTGCAGTTAATCAATTTTAAAATGTCTCTAAGAAATGAAACAAAATACAATATGTCTATTTTTCCCGTTATTTCCTGGTCATGACAAGGAGTACATGGCAGGTGTAACCAGTTGGCAAAGGACACAGGAAAAATTGACTCGCATAAATTTATATTGAATTCGCATGGAATTTATGTGAACTTTTTGCATAGGAAGGAGACGTAGAAATACTATCTTTAACATTTCAACTTGCCATGATAGCACAAAAACAGAAGATTAAGGAATTCAACTACTAAATCTCAAAACAAACTTCAACATTACATTGCATATTCGCGAAAACTATTGAAAAAAAACTAATTACCACCAAAGCTAGTAACATTAACGTCCTAATCTTTCTATTTATAGCATGTAATACTACTATCACCTGTTTTTCTTTTTTTAAAATCTTCCATTATATTCAAAACTCAAGAAAATGTCCTGAGTGCGATCAATATTCAAACCGAGGCGGGCTACTAACAGAAATATTGATGTTACAGGGGGTTTTATATAAGAAAAAAACCTCGTCAACTCCTCGAATTTTCTATAGTCCTCATAATGATCTTGTAAGCAAATGTATCTCAAGAATTATTATTATTGTTTTGGCTTGCCTGCTTTATAACAGTTGTCACCAGCTGTAATTAAGGTCTTTGTTTTAAACTAAAGATGGCTTCGGAATTAATGTTCTGTCTATCTGATTGATATATAGGGCTCCTGACGGGTCTGACCGAGCAGCAGAGGATGGTTATACTTTCTGGGTACCTGGTTCAATCTCTGGAATTTCCAGAGGTCTATGTTTTTTGCCCTGATCACAGATTCCTATTATTTATAGATTTTTCTATCACTGTTTTATTTCAAAGAAAATGTCTGAAATACATGTACATAGAGATTATCATTTGTAGTTTTGATAAAATAAGGCTTTTGTTGAAAGTGAACCCTTAGAGATAGAAATTATGATTGTTTTGAATAAATGGCATTTTAACTTCTGAAATGTATATTTTTTCAAACAAATAACCTGATATTTTTACTTGTAAGCTAACAGAAGGAAACGTGGATTTCCACCAAAGTCTATCCAATAAATCAAAAGTATATAAAAAAAAATTCAAATAAAAGATGTTTTCTACTTTGCATTAAAATAAACTACTACATGTATCGAGGAATACCTTAATGAAAGAAAAATAATCAGAAGGATTTTTTTGGACAAATTTAACAATTAAACTCAATATTTGTCATTTATCAACAGTATTTTCTAGGAGTATGTCTCAGTATACCGTATATATCATATTAAACGTGTCCGGTACTGCATGGTTTGTGTTTATTTTTTCATAAATAAGGTTTATTACAGATATTGTCATAGACAGCAGTCCATGACAAATACTATCAAAACGAGAGAACGGTGTGAAATAAAATTCTAAAAAGTTAAGATATGATTAAATGACAAATATGAGAACAATTTTTAGGTCTAATTTGCATGTTTAGATATTTTATAGCTAAGATTGCAAAATCGCCATATCAAATGAACTTTCCTCGACTCAATGTATGAACATCTCTATCTACGAAATTAAAAGAAAATCGGTTTAATCACGACAGACAGATATGGAATCTCACGACGTGTTCTTGTTTTATCTATGGGTTTGAATTTTGGAACTGTGTGCCTGACTTTTCTGAATGCTCTCCTTATATAAAAGGCCCGCTTCTAACGATAACAATAGTTGACATCTAATCTTCAAATCAGTCCAAACTCACCATCATGAGAACTCTGATTGTTTTGGCCGTCGTTATTGTAGCAGGTAAATTGTTTTTTCTACAAATATTATATATAAATGAAAAGACGACTATTATAATTATATTAATTGAATAAAATGGATAAGATTGTATTTGTATATTATGTTCGTTATAAACTCTATATTTGATCTGTGCGTGAGCAAAAATTTTCATTTTCACGAAACTTAATTAAGCTTATTTAAATAAACAATATAAAGACTGCAAATTCTGAACAAAGACAACAGTGTGTTTTAGATATCATGTATATATATTGTTTTGTGTATAAAACGCATCTTTATGTAGTTCTGCAAAGTCTCCTAAACTGTTCCTAAATTTTCTTGCATGATTTTGGATAATTATAGGAAATTTTCGAAACTTGATATAGAGAAATATATATAATTTTTTAAAAATTTTTTTTAAAGCTCTCAATTTTTTAAACCGCAAATTCTGAACAAAGACAACAGTGTGTTTTAGATATCATAATGTTGTTTTGTGTATAAAATGCATCTTTACGTAGTTCTGCAAAGTTTCCTAAACTGTTCATAAATTTTCCTGCATGACTTTGGATATTTATAGGAAATTTTCTGATATTTTTGTGTCAAAGAAGCTTTCGCACAATGTTATATTCTTTCCAAACGTGATATAGAGAAATATATATACATGTATGCGTATGCATACTTACCACCTAAAATAAATCTGTATCAACATTTAATTTTGATATCCTATCAGTTTCTGCTGAGATGTGCCGAGACACATCCAGTTGCTCCACCTCCACCACTTCCTGTGCTTCCGGCTCTGAGCTCCACTGTGTTAACCACCAATGTACCTGTACCACAGCTGGCACTGGCGACGGAGGTTCGTACCGAATTTACTCTGTGTGTTTCCCTATTTTTTAAAGTCTAACCAACAGAGTAAAGGTACCTTTGTTTTATGAAAAGTTTAAATAATGTTTCTTTATTGTTGTTGCAGGATGCGTCATGGCTGACGACTGCCATGGAAGATGTGACCACGGTGGACGTCACCATTGCATTGATGGCAGATGTAGATGCACTCATTTTTAAATAAATAAATTTATATTTTTCTATGAGTCTGATTTATTAAGTTGTACCAATTGTCGCAAATAATCCTTATCGGTATGCATAGTTCCCTACTTACATTTACCTCTGACCGAAGTCATAATGACTTCCAGATAAAGCAGAGACACAACAGAGGTGTCCTAATCTAATTTTAATCATTCTGATTCTACAAATAAGTACCCTCAAGCTGATAGACTTAAACATAGATGCTGCTGTTCCTCATCAGTAATATCTGTGTAATCTTGTATGGCCATGTCTTTCAAAAACAATCTGTTGGAATTTTCATGGACATTAATTTGTTCTTTTTTTCATCCAATATGTTTTTGGGAGTTTTATGTTCAAACTCCCTAGGTCGTCACGCGGTTTCTAGCGCAGTAATTTTACAATGAATTATATAGCGGCCGTCGTGGTGTTTCTGTGTCGGCCAATTTACTCCCCTGTGATATTCCATACAAACTCGTACCGGTCTATATAAACTCGAAGAAACTTCCGCAATAAAAACAGTCCATCTCATTTTTCTGAACTAATCTAATTTTCATAAATGATTTGAAAGTAAATGAAATAGAATTTTATTTAACTTAATTTGAATAGCATATTTTTGTCATCTCTCTTGAGAAATGACACGTAAATTTTGATTTCCATATGAAAAAAAGGTCCCAGTTTTCCGTCATTTATCATTCGGTCCTTTCATTCCATTACAAAAAGTACGAGGTCATCCAAGGAGCAACAACTGGTCTAACTGGTTTGACAATGACGCGATTGTCTAAATATAGAAATGTAAACAAAGATGTAAGGTCAAAGGAACGCTAAGTTTAATCCAACTTCTTTCGATTTGTTTCAGCAATAAAGAGACAGAACAACGTTTCTTTAAAAAAAAAAATACTGCGGAAAATATCACTGTCAGATATTTATTTGCTCTGACAAGTAAAATGATCTGTTAGACTGATTTTGTCATACATGATATATTTTTATTGGTAAAGGGAAAAAATAATAGCATTAAAGTTTGTTGATATTCGATCTCACAATTTCAAATGACATTAATTTTGCATCCTTAATTTCATGAATTTATCAGCATTCAGTTGGTCACGTGTACAACACCAAATCTGAACTTCAAAAATGTGTATGTACTTGCATGTAGTATTACCTTATAAAATGTATCATTTGATTTTATTATATAATTAAAACAGTTAGAATTAATGAATACATGCGTATGCACGGATACAATGGTATAATAATCCAAATGATCGATCTGTAAGAAAGATCGTTCCTCATGATTACAACTGTTTTTTTTTTCTTGTAGTAGCTCGTTAAACTATGTCTGATTTTTAATTACATTTGAATCAAATCAAAATCACAAACTTTAAGTGTCACTCGCGTGGCGCAGTTGTTAAAATAGTTTGCTCTAGAGATTCAAAGTAAGGTGTTAATTGATCCTTACGTCGCAGGTTCGAATCCTGTGGGATGCATTTGGAGATAAACTCTTTTGATGAGACCATATAAACCGAAATCCCATGTCGCTGTATCTGCTTGCACAAAACGATCCCTCACTACTCAATGGTTTTGAGTGCCGTGTATAGGTAAAAATTTGTAGACTTACATGTAGCTAGCTCCATCGACAAGTGGTAGTGTCTCAATATGATTGAAAAATTATCGAACGTAAAACAAACAAAATGTGAAGTATTCAGATACTTACTTCTATATAGAAATTACTTGAAATTAAATTTAAAATTATGGATTATGGAATAACAAAACTTGATGATTAAGTTATAAAGATAGATACATTTGATAAAATAGATAAGCACGGAGTTCTATAAAAATTAATTATTGTGTCCGAAAAGAAACATTCATACCCAAAAGAGAATAGCAAATACTTGTTTTAATCAGAGGAAGAAAAATGACAATCTAGTGTCTGGTGATGGTAACATCGAATATAAAGAGTGTTTGTTTGTTTTTTGGGACACAGTATCTTGTACACATTCTAAAGAGAGCAGGGGTGTTTTGATTCAAATGCTTCAGAAACATAAGGTTAGTGTTTGAGTTTGAGTAATAAATGGTACTGAAAGAAGTTTGAAACCTACCCACAAAATAGTATTTTCGAGTTTGGAAAAATTATTTTTTAGGTGGTGGGCGTTGTTTGTTTGGTTTGGTCAAATTGTTGAGGTAAGTATTAGATAGAATAAATCCAGAACTAAACTTAACTGTTAGTACGCAATAAATATACAGTTTTTTCAATGGATGGCACTGTAGCTCTCCCGTCTGTCAAAATCTTTTTTTTTCGGAGAGCTACAGTTCTGCAGCTAATTTAAGAGCAGTCCCATGTTCTTGGCTATTCAAATACAATAGAAATTATTTTTAATGTTTTGTGTTGTATCTCTAACAAATCAGTTCTAGCTGACTTGAATCTGAAAGCATGAAACTGTTCCTATACTTCCTGTGAGATTTTTCAGTTAACAATGTTCGACTCCCATGAGTACTTTCAGTACTTTGATTTTATATTCCTACCAAGCAGACTTTATTCGAATTCTTTTTAACATACTCTACAGAAGGAGAGAAGGAAAAGGAACTCTTACAGTGGCCTTCAACTTAACATCCAATTAATAGTAATGATTTTTATTTATTTATCCACATATATTCATTCGATAAAGATATCAGAGAGTATGCAATATTTTGTATGGATGACTTATTGACTATAGACTAGAGATTTCATACATGATATATATGAAGACAACAAATGTATTGCATCGTATTGGCACAGGTTAGAGTGTCTGCTCTAGAGTCGCAAAATAAGCAGTTGATCTTTAAGTCTTGGTTTCGAATCCCACTGTGGGACGTGGAGACAGATCCTTCGGATGAAACCAAATTACCGAGGCCAAGTGTCGCAGTAGGTATGGCACGAAAAAGATCCCTTCATGCTCAACGGCCTTAAGTACCGAGTAGTAGTTTAGGACAAAATTTGCAGTACTCAATGGGCAAATGGTGACGTCTCCATATGAGTGAAAAATTGTCGAGAGGGACGTTAAACAACAAACAAACAAACGAATGTATTGTTAATTGACATTACGTCGACATTACGTCGTCGATATTGTTAATTGATAATACGTCGTCGATATATCTAAAAGTTAAGTTGGAAGTCACAGCGTATTCTTTTATTCATCTATAAGATTTTTTGAACGTATTGTGCTTTACATGAATATAAAAACAGGCCTGCTGATAACGGAGCGGAATTGGGAATTTCAATAAACTGTTGGAAGGCCTGGTCTCCGAAAACCATTGTGCATCAGAAACCCAAGCATCTTTTTAATATCAACTTCAGAGTACTTGTGTGTAGACTCAGAATGTTTTTTTTAAAGTAATTTTGTAAACAACCAACGATAAAGTAATTAGATTTATGAGTTCCATTTTTATTGAAAAAGAAGCTTTCAATGCTGCCAAAAAGCCTCAACTTTAATTTATCGTAGGATATTGTTGGATATAAAGTTGAAAAGTCTTGTCAGCAGATACAATTTATCATTGAGTCAAATGCTGACTGACGTTTTTCATACTAATTATTTATGTACTGAATTGACGACGGATTTTTCCGTTATTTCCCGATCATGAAAAGGAGAGCACGGCGGGTATGACCGGTCGGCAAGTAATGCACACTCTTCAATGGCACCTGATCCCACCTCTACTGTTTTGGAGGTCCTTGTTTGCTCTACTCCTATTTTGAAGCTTGAATACTGTTGTTATCTCTATATATTTCATTACACAATTTCTAGAACATATTGTTGCACAGCACTCCTGAAGGTTCTCGTTCATCTTTTTCATTTGAAGAAGTTTTACTGACTACAAACACTTATTTTAAATAAATGCAAAAGTTTATGACGACCAGCTTTTCCATCGTAAACTTTCCCTATTTAAATATTTCCCAACTTATTCGATATTCAAGAGCATATTTTGAGGAGGATTACATTTTTAAACCAAGGCAGGACACTAACATAAAAGTTGATATTTCAGGGAAGTCAAAAAGCTTGTTAAAAGTCAGTATTTCATAAATCCTATAGTCGTTAAAATGACCTTCATGGCAAATATACCATAAAATTTGTTCATATCTGTTTCATACCAATTTTTAGCTAATAAAGGAGAATATTTTGAACGTATAGGAATTCCAAAAAGACCATTATACTTTATTATAGGACTCTCCTTTTTATCGAATTTTGGAAAGTTTAGGAATTACATATAGAGATAAATCAGTAACTCGGTCAATCAACTTCTGTTTACTAGATTGACAAATGTTTTAAAATCTGAAACACGTTTTGAAAAGAATCCTTTGAAAAGATATTAGAGGCTAGATAACACAATGTGAAGTAGTAAGAGCGTCTACTCTAGAGTCGCGATGTAAGGAGTTGATCCTTTCGTTACCGTTACGGGTTTAAATCGAGCCGTGGAAGGTAGAGACCGGTCCTTCGGAGAATTCAACCTTTGTTGAAATTAAATAAATTTGAAGGGAGATTTTTGATTTTCTATTTAAAAAGCACACAATGTGTAGGAGTATTTTTACATGTTAAAAGTCAAGCCAGAAAAAAAACATACTATCTGAAATTAAAATTTTATTTCTCATAATATAGAGAAAATATTGTTTTTAGACGAGTCAACTGTAAGGTGGTTACTTAGACATGTTCAAAAAGCAGAAGATGTAAATAATCTTAATAACAAATAAATATCAAAAAAATTAAATAAATGTTAATATTGTTTTTAATACAATATCGAGCAATATTGCTTTGTTGCTCTTTTTTTTTTTTTTTACTTATAGCATATTTACATCTACTTGTTTGCTTCAAAAGAAAAATTGTTCTTTCAAATTGATTTACAATTAGAATGTCATTGAATCCTTTTTCTAAAAAGTAAACAAATTATTGACAATAAAAATTTACAAAAGCTAAATGTTATATGAAAATAAATAAAGAAACAAATTGTGAAGCCCGATAATATCATATAAGCCTACCTTTAATTTTGTCCTGCTTTTTAAGCAACACGACACTGTGTTTCGTGCTTATTTTTATCTTCACATGACAGAATTATGTGCGAAATATCTGACCTTTTCAAGATAATTTTTTCAGAGAAGATATATAAGTGAAAAAAAATCACCAAAAATGTCGTTCACAACATTTAGTGAAGCACCATGAAGGCCATCTTTGTTCTCGCTGTCGTTGTTGCTGCAGGTATGTGTGTATTCTGTGATTAGCATATCCGTTATATGTTTTCTCTTGAAGAAGATACAATCAAAATTTTGACTGTCAATGATCAAGGTTTTCCTATAGCAATGTATTTACTTATTACAAACATTTTTCTTATATATAAATCATTTTACAAAATTGTTGTACCATATTTAAACAGATTATTTATTTTTTATTCACATATTATTGCAAGGTAAATTATGTGAATTTACAGTTAAAGAAAATCTTACCTTTGTCACGTGACCACAAGAACATTTATGTACAGAACTGTGCTTTATATTAGTATAGTCCTGTAGACTCAATGAATTGCTATATAATTGCTAACAACCTTTGTTTGCAGTCACGGCTGAGAGATGTAGTGACACAGGTGACTGTACAGCCACTACATGCGGGGGCGGATCATCCCTCCATTGTATTGGACATCTGTGCACGTGTACCATAGCAGCAAGTGGCGATGGAGGTAGATGACTCGATACGTCATACTGGACATTAAGTTTTCTTGAAAATTATGAAACTCTTATTAGAAAGTATTACATTGTAAACGGAAGTATCAGCCATTTTTACCAACTTTCTTTGTAAAATCTTCAACCAAATAACATTTTTTTCTATAACTTTTTGTGTCTTTGTAATTTTAAGCATTGTTCTCTAAAATATTTAGACAAGATTAATTCTAGATACAGGTTTTATGAGGATTTAGATTTTTTTTTCTTTCTTTTTATGACAGCTTGCACCATGGCCAGTGACTGTCATGGACGATGTGACGGTGCTCGTCAGCACCACTGTATCGATGGTCGGTGCAGATGTACTCATTTTTAAAGAAATAAATCTACCTTTCCACTTTCTTACTTGATTTATTTATCTTATTTGTCTCACTTATTGTTGATCCAAATGTAAAGTCAAAACCTTTAATAATAACACAATCAGCAAAATTCTATATACCAATGCCTCTTAATATTTCGGATGTCACCTGAAATTATATTCAGAAGATCTGTGTAAAAGAGAATGAATTTTGGGAAAGATTCGCCAAAATCAAAATGATTTACTACAATGCAAAACAAGATGCTTTATAACAAAACGGGTTAGTAAAATTACCTTTTAACTGAAAAAGGATACAAGAGGTATAAAAAGATGTGAGGAAGATAATAAAATAGCGTCGAAATAGCGTCATAACGACGATGACGTTTTTGTCGTGCAGTGACAGAGAAAACCTAATATTCGCAGAATTTATTGAAAAAAGAACAGGTCTCCTATTGTGGCCTTTATTTCAATATTTAGATATATTCAGAAATATTCTATCATTTGATAATCTTCAAGCCTGTGTTGAAAATGAACACTTTCTAGAAACAGGCAAGCTATTAAAAATTAAGTTGGTGAATTTAGTATATCAGCAGTCCCGTGTTGTGTCCATTGCTTATGAACTGAAACACAAGAGAGAAGAAGTAAAAGAATTTTGAATCTGTATTATTAAAGATTGAGTCAGGTCAGTGACTTTAAAACATTTATATATATTTCTTTTTTGCTTAGTGCCAAATTTCATTAATTTTAACATTCTCCTTTCTCTACACCTTTGTGTAACTCTGTAGCAAACATGACCGTAGTTTCATAGGAAAAACAGGCTTTTTAGAAAAAAAAATGAGTAGTTTGACAATCAAGAAGAAACTTTAATGATCGAAATATATACACACAAAAAAATCATATAATTATTTGCCGTGGTAAGAACATTTTACTATTGAAAGTGTTGTCCTATTGCTCTTGAAGAATTTTCACAAAACATTACTTAAGCTATATAAGCTTGTTGTAAGCTTGTATATAAGCTTGTTTTGGTAAAAAAAGATAAATAACACATTTACATTGTATTTTAATATAAGTTGGAATTGTTTAAGGTTGGGGGGGGGGGGTATGTTTACAGACAAAAAAGAAAAAAATGCTCATTTTTTTCTAGAAAACTTCTAAAATTTCAAAGTATTTACTATCAGAAAATTGTATGGTAACAATCATATATCTTCGATTTCATAAGCATGATATAAAGGAACATTTATCCTAATCTTAGAGCATCTGAAAATCTTGTGGTGCATGCTTTAAAGCACGATTTTAACAGAAAACACCGTCTATTCTCTTATGAAAAGAATTGGAAATAAGAGCTCATTAATATTTAATATTATTATCGAAATTATTAATCTATTACTATTGACCTTTTCTTGGTATTTTACCAAAATATAATGGCTAAATTGTCATTAGTATTGAAAAGTATTAAATGAAACTGGGAATCGAGAGTTAGCGTGCTTATTGCTTTGGTGTCTTTAATATGTCCACTTTCTCTGTTTTTATAGTTAGGTTTCATCTGACATCACTGACTTCATTTATTCAGAAGATTCATTCTCTTCAAAATTAACCCTCTCCATAAAAAACGACAAAATCTTTCTTTTAATCTTCGCTTTCATTATCAGTTTGGGATATTAATTTAGATCTGTCCTTCCGTCTAGCTGCATATCTATCTGCCTGCATGTAACATTTTCATTTCCTCGCCATATTTCGAGAAACCTTTGAACTTTTGCAATGAAATTTACATCACAATTCCCTATGAACTAAAGGAGATCCTATCGATTCTTGGGAGAAAGGTCAAGGTTATAAATCCCTAAAGCGGTCAGTTTTAGAGCGTTCGCTTCGTGATCGGGAGGCCCGGGTTCGATTCTCGTTCGCAGCACCGCGTCAAACCTAAGACGTTAACATAGATGGTAGTGACTGTTTTTTCGCCAAGCGCTCGGCATTAGAAGTGAAGCCACAGGTCTTTCGGATATGGCCTTAAAAACGTTGGACCCATGTCAAGGTAGGATTTGGCCAGATAAATAACCCTCACTGCTCAATGGCCTTAAGTATCGAGTATACTGTAGGTCTAAATTTGAAGCCCTTCACCTGCATACGGTGACGTCTCTATATGGGTGAAAAATTCTCGAATATGACGTTAAATAATATACAATTAATCAATCCCTATGACCTATGAATGAACAATATTCATTTTGAGGTCGAAAAGTCAATGGTCAAGGTCAAAAAATCATACATTCCTCCCTGTGGAAATGTTCCAATTCCGGGCTTTTGAGCTTTTGCAATGAATTTGTATAACATGACTCCCTATGACCCCGCCCGCCCTTTCTTAAGGGTGTCCCCTATATCTTGAACACTCCCTTTCGATCCTCAGACTGTTTTTATCATTTAAGCATGGGACACAAATTTTTTTAATTAGAATGCATAAAAAGAATAAAAGTCAATGATTTTTAAAGGAAAAAAGATAAAGAATATGAACACAATTTATCAGAATCTATAATGAGAGTCTTATATCTACGTATTATGGATTTTTCCCTGTACCTGATGATCGACAGTTGTGATCGGTCGACAAGGAATGCTTTCTCCTCAATGTCACTTGATTCCTACTATTATGTGTTTATCGCTTTTTATTGTTCTGCGCACAATTTTAAACATATCAATAAACTAAGTATAGCGTTAGATATTTTTTTTCAGATTTTCAAAAATCTACGTTAGGAGCTTTAAATATGTAAATAATCTTTCGAAAACGGAAAAAAGTTGTGATGAATGTTGATTCCAACACTTCCAAGTCCTAAAGTAAAGGCAGACTGAAACAATGAACTGTATTATTTGAACAGTCATGTTTCTCCTTTCAGACATGACATCATTCCTGACTTTATTCTCTGTCTGGTATTTGGAACAACACGATAGATATTTCGTGTTTCCTTATAGCAACACTTGTCTGAATATAAGAGCATAACCCTTTATTCGGTCACTGTCCTGGTTTCCCTACGAATTGCATATCGTCACATTTATATATGCGTTTAGTTTTCTGAACTGAAAGTCTCCAAAGACATTTTGCAAATTTAAATATATTTAAAGAATGTAGACTCCTTAATCATCAGAGTTTGTTGGAGACCAGTGTTCATGGATTTCGTGGATTTTCCTTAATCCACGAATAAAATCCCCAAGAACAATTATGTTGTGAACATAATTCTTCTATACGTACAATTTACCCAGAAAAAATGTTTCCAGAAACCAATTAAATCTTGCATGTCCACGAATGTTGGCCTCAACGTATTAAAATGATCCCACAGTAGTGTACGTCGGGGTTGATCAAGCATTTCATGTTACTAGTGCTCCATGTACATATAAATACTCAATCTTTTTGACTTTTGCTTTAAAATATCATTCAGATTTATGAAACACTTTTCAAAATATTAAAATGTACTAAACACAACGCTAAGCTTTGTCTATCGCTGCTAAGAAAGAATAAACTGGCGTTGTTGTGATGTTTCTTTTAAATACTCATTTTTATTTGATTCAGAAACCTTTAAATATTTCGCATTTATTTTATGTACACTTCAAACATAATTTTTTTAAAAAATAAAACCAACTTAATAAAGATGCATGCTTTGGTGCAAAGTGAAAGTAAAATATAATCAAAAGAAGCATGTATGAGGTGAAACTGATTTGCAAAGAAATTGAAACTTAATGTTGAAAAGCAATGTCAAAAAGATGTCGGGATAATAAATAACGCGTGGTGATAAACATATACAAACCTGACATTGTATTGATTTTTTCTTTAGAAAAAGTATTTTTACAACTAAATGGAATTTTTAAAGTTAAAAGCAAAATATACCCAAATGAAAAAAAGGGCAAACAAAATACTATTACAAAGTACTAACAAAACACTGTGTTTTGAAAGTATTCCAATAGTATAGCAAATCAAATGCAAATGAGCTAACAAAACGCTATAACAAATTACTAATAAAACACTCTAACAAACTACTTACAAAACACTGTGATTTGAAAGTATTCCAATAATATAGCAAATCACATGCAAATGAGGCTAACAAAACACTCTAACAAACTACTAAGAAATCATAAGTAACAAATCATCAATTAACCACTAAATTTGAATTTTTTAAAATCATGATTAACAAATCCACAAGTCTTTGAAATTATCTAAACACAGTCTCATTTTGAAACATTATAAACACTTCTTGTTTCACAGTATTTTGAATTCCAGGATTGACATTATGGTTCAATAGACAATTGTACACCATTCCAGCATTTAAAAACACCATGCAAGTTCACTCTCTTTTATCAATTCTCTGCAGTTAAATTCCTTTGGTATAAGAGATATAATTCTCAAGTCATTGGCCACTTCTCCAATCACATACATTTTCACAGAATTTTCAAGTATTATAATTCATCACTTAATCCAATGCTTAAAACTGATCTAAGCTAGTATATGGATTAAAGGTCATCTGGTTTTATGCCCATCTTTGAACACTTTTAAAAAACATTTGAAAACTCATCTTTTTAGGGAAGCATTCGGTTAAATTTTTATTTTTAAGTGTCAAATATAGACTGTTTTTATTTATTTAGTTATTTATTTATTTATTTTTAAAGATTTCTGACCTTAAATATTTGGTTATTTTTAATCTTCTTAAATTTCTTATGCTCTGTTGTATGCAGTTTTCTCTTTTCGTGTTTTGATATCGTTTAATCATCATTTTGCAGAAATATTTTTTATTTTTAATATGGTTATCAATACTTAATTTTATTTTCTTATGCTATTCAACAAAATTTTTATTCTTGATGTTGTATTTATGAATGTATTTTAACTATGTTGTACAGCGCTTTAGAGTAATTGTGTTTATTATATAAGGCGCTCTATAAATTTTGTATAATAATAATAATAATAATAATAATAATAATAATATTAGAATAAATTAAAACCTAATAAAAACAGGCCATATACACATCCACATTCACAGATTGAAGGTTACTGTAGTCCAGTAAAAAGAACTTTATGTCATGCAATAAATACCTCTTTTATATCCAGATTCATCCTGATTTTGCTTTTTCCAATCAGGGATCAATATATATACTAACACTTTGTATGTCCTTTCACCAATCTCTTTATTTCTCTCTGACCTAGTGCTGGTGGTTTGAAAATTGGCGCAAATTCTAGTCTAACACAGGTTGTAAACAGACATGTTGTTCTTTGAAGCTTTTACAGCTCCGAGATAATTCAACCCTAAAAATGTCTGTTAATCAAATGAAATGCTAAAAAATATTACTTTGATGCAGACAAGTGTAACGAAATACTTTCAAACTGCAATTTCATTTTGCAGAGTGTGATGAAACATTAATAAAACACCAACATTGAAATGAAACATTACCAAAATACCATGCCACCCCCATCCTGTAAAGTGTTGCATTGATGTTTCGTTATATGCAACACTTTCAAAACATACAAAGAAAATATAAAAGTATGTTTTGGTAGGGGTTTGAAGATATTTTGAAACAATTTTGTTAGATTTCTTTTCCATTTGGGAGGGTTTCACATTTCAAATTGCGTTGATGACATTCGATTATTAAAGATTTTATAATTAATTATAAAATTATTTTGTTCTGCCCTATCAATCCTAAAAATTCTCTGAGGTACCTTAGAGGAGTAAGCATCCCTCGTTGACCTTTCACACCCGCCGAGAGCTCTATTTATTGATAAGACGGAAATGTCTCAAGTAAAATATATTATTGCTCAAAAGTTTTGCCTTCAAAAAATTAACCTGCAAAGTTTACTGATTTCAAAAACGTAAATGACTTGAATTTTTTATTGAGAATGAGCGGGGTTTTTTTCTGAGCTTAGCTGATTAAGAGTCCAGTGGGTGATATTTATTCATATTTAAGTTATGTATTTTATTTATTATTATAAACAGTTAAGCCTAAACTTTCACTGATTGGATCGCTCTTTATGATTAATGGGATAACTTCAACTTTTCATTCATTTCTTTCATTTACGCAGCATTAAACCCTTATCACCTATATACTTGCTGTGGCCTTCAACTCGACTTTTAGATATATCGACGACGTATTGTCAATTAACAATGGTAATTTCCATTCCTACGTCGATACGATATATCTCGGTGAGCTTGAGATAAAATTAAAGATACCACAGAGTCTGACACATCTGTTTCATACTTGAATATTTTACTTGAAAAAGACGTTAATGGTAATCTAACAACCAAACTATATGATAAACGTAATGACTTAAACTTTTCTATCGTCAGCTTCCCTTACTTGTGCAGCAATATACCTTCATTACCTTCATACGGAGTATATATATCTCTGTTGATTCGATACGCTAGAGCATGCTCTACGTATGAACAATTTCTAAAACGAGGTGAATTATTGACAAACAAGTTGATGAAACAAGAATATCAGCCGTCTCGTTTAAAGTAATCATTTCGTAAATTCTATGGCGATACAATGACCTTGTCAGCAAAATACAATTTATCAATGAGTCATATGCTACTGACGTTTTTGATACTAATTGTTAGTCCATTATTTATACATTGAACTGACGACGGATTTTTCCGTTATTTCCTGATAATGACAAGGAGCACATGGCGGGTGTGACCGGTCAGCAGGGGATGCTCACTCCTCCATGGCACCTGATCCAACCTCTGATGTTTTGGAGGTCCGTGTTTGCCCTGCTCCTATTTTGAATTGTTTTATGGACTTTGAGATTGAATACTGTTCGTTATCTCCATATCCTTCATATAGGAAATTTATGTCTTCAGAAGACTTAATATGCAAGGGCTTGCTCTACATGCAAACGATTTCTCAAATGATGCATGTTACTGATAAAACAGTCATGGACCCATTTAATCACCACCAAAGCTGAACGTCTGAAGACCTTTATTCATGTCCTGCTTTTCCAGCAACACGCCATTACGTTTCGTGCTTATTTTTATCTTCACATGACAAAGTTATGTGCTGAAATGATGACCTTTGCATGATAATTTAGTTCAGAGAAGATATATAAGTGAAAAGAATTGGCCATATATATAATCATTCACAACATTTAGTGAAGCAAAGATCACCATGAGGGCCATCTTTATTCTCGCTGTCGTTGTTGTCGGAGGTAATTGTGTTTACTTACATGTAGATTAATATTTACAAATTGTTTTCTCAGAAGACAATTCAGAAGAAGGTACAATACTGAATAAGATTTGAACATTTACAAAGAAGTTTTTTTGCAGCATTGTAATAACATTGCAAATATGGTTTCCATGACATAAAGATTTTTTTTTAATGTACACTCATTAATTTCTTTCTTCATTTAAAGAATTTATTTAAATATGTATTTGTATCTTGGATTGTTTCATTTTTAAATTTAAAAAATTCTTTAATTGTGAAAAAGATAAATTTCCTTTTCTATCATGCATTTGCATTAATTAGTTTGTAATTTAGTTAATTAAGCATATTTGTGTGGTATGCCTATCTGAAGGGATACATTCATATATCGTGTGGAATATACAAGTTGAACTTTTTTGTAGTCATTGTTCAATATTCTCTTGATCTTAAGTTTGAATATTACTTTATTGAAATGATAATGCTAGTTATATTTTCCAAAGAATTCCAATTAAGTCTATTGAATCAATGTTAAAGCGCATGTCATGTTGTTAGTGAGTGTATTGAAAGTCAAACGAAATATTAGTTAAATCACCAGATAATTACAAGAAAATTAATTTACGTTTCAAGTTATTTTAGGCCTGTAGACATGAAATAAACAGCTATGCAATTGCTAAGCCTCTGTTTTGAAATTCAATGTCTTTCAGTCATCGCTGAAAGATGTGATGACACGGATGACTGTTCAGCCACTACATGCGGGGGCGGATCAACCCTCCATTGTATTGGACATACGTGCACGTGTACCACAGCAGCAAGTGGTGATGGAGGTATGTGACTTGATACGACATACTGGGTATTTAGTATTGCTGAAAATAATTGAAACTATGAAATAAGAAATCTTAGAATCTGCAATTTTTACCAACTTTCTATTGTATAAGCACCCGACTCGTCCCTATTTTCTTAGTATTTTTAGCAGTTTTCTCTCAATCGATAGACAAGTTTAATCCTAGATTGATGTTTCAGAGGGTTAAGATTTTTTTTTTAAATATAAAAATCTTTTTAAAAATCCCAAAGTCGTCTAGTTTCCTTCAAAATTTTCAAAAATTTATACTTACGACATACTTATGCTTTAAATAGATATTTTATTTAGTAATTTAAAAGCTCTCTCCGCATAGCACTTCATTGAATAATTTGGTAAATTAATTCATTTTTTTTTACCACAGCTTGCACCATGGCCAATGACTGTCACGGACGTTGTGATCATGGACGCCAGCACCATTGTATTGATGGTCGATGCAGATGTACACATTTTTAGAAGAAATAAATTCGTCTACCTTAACGAGTTGTCACATGTCTGATTCATTGTATATTGACCTGTAGAAATTATAGAAATAAAACTGAAGAACTGAAAATAATTCATATCTTAAAAAGTTTTGATAAATAATGACCATGACATATCTAGATAAGAAAACTTATTTTCCACAATATGCCTAGAATACAACTATTATTCCCCAAATTTGAGAACTTTATTAAATCTTTAAGATTCTAAATGAGGTGAGTTCATGTGCCTGGAAAGAGTAAGTATTTCCTGTCATCTATCTATTTATCTGGACTATAAGTATCAAATTTAGTATGAGAGCCAATGATATCAACAGCACTGTTTGCTCTGCTCACGCTTTCTATGGTTTCAATGGACTTTTGATTTTAAATGCCATTCGTTATCTCAATTTATCATCCACAAGGTATGCATTTCTGTAGCGTTCCATGTATTGATTTTATATTTTTATGAGATATCGAATTTCAGTATAGATTTGAAACTTAAGTTCACTCACGTTTACCGGAATTATTAAAGTATTTAAACTCAAAACGTGACTCTGAGGAATAGGGACTGAGAGAATAAATTGGGTTACAAGATTAGGAATATATTCTCGCTTCTTTTCTAAAATGAAATGGTTAAAATAAGCCTTGCAAACAAAGAGCTTTGTCAGCTGAAACCATTCCATAAAGATCAGGTAGTCTTTCTTAAATTCTAATCTGCTTAAAGCAGATACTTTACAGTACAGTTCATATGGGAATTGAAAATAATAGCTTTTTTTTTTTTTTTTTTTACAAAAATTCACTAAAATTGGACAATTATTTTGTGAAGCGCCCCTTTTGAGAATTTTTTAATATAGAGCAAACGCCTTAACCACTGCGCCAAGCGACCGATTCGGAAAAATGAAATACAAATATTAAGTGCGACAGCACCTGTCGACTGAAGTGCTACATATAAATCAAAAGGTTATGATTATCACACTGAATTTCAATGCTGTTCGGGTCTTCATTTTCCATTCATTCAAATTGGAGGGGGAAAAAAAGGAAAAAATCACATCGCATTTTTTTTATGATTTAGTCAAAGAAAAACACAATTTTTTTTACAGTTCTTTTTCTATTTGAATAGAAAATGCTTTCTTTCCATTGGCAGATAAAGTAACTCGTTTGGCTATCGATGTCGAGTACATAAACGTTATCATTTTCATATATAAATATAGCGAAATAAATTTTATATATTTACACTAGACCTTAATCGACTACTGCAGTTCCTTGCTTTTATTCCTTGTTTACATTACAAATATTGAAGATATGTTCATAATATGAAAAACTACAGATAAGTACCTCATATATATACATGCCATAGTTTTTATTCCTGCTTTTCGAGAAGCACGACATTATGTTTCGTGATTGATTTTATCTCTGCACGGCCTTAAACTTTCTGATTTCCTGACCTTTGCAAGATAAATTATTTCAAGGTATATATATATAAATATACTTGAGAAGAAATTAATAATTAAATTATCTTTGTTCACAACAATCAGTGAAGAAAAGAGGAAATATGAAGGTTGTTTTTATTCTCGCATTGGTTGTTGTTGCAGGTTTGTATTGTGATAATTTTGTGCAATATGTTTTCACAGAATGAAAAACCAGGAGAAGGCAAACAAATTGGCTGCAGATCAAGAAGTCTAAAAGTATATATTGCAAAAATGATTTCTTTAAATTTGTAAATTCTGTAGGCCCTGAATGTTGACTTTGTAATAACAAATAGAATTTGTATAAACGAATTTAAAATGTATTTTAACTAATTTTAGAACTGGTTTAATCGAATTAAATTTATTATAATTTTTTTTTTTGATATAACGATATCAATAAAAAGTTATTTTAGATTAAATTCGTCATAACTAATTTAAAGAAACTGTTATATCGAATTAAATTTATTATAACAAATTCGCCAATTTTTCATATCAAATTCACAAAAATATTTCCGATTGGTCCTTAATGAGCCTCCGTAGTTTGATTAATAAGTGCCGTCAAATACAATATTATGAAATTTTACAGTATGATTCGTTGTTAATTAAATGTTTTAAAATACAATATTAATGTATTAGAGCATGATTTGTTCTATAACTAACTGCTGTTATATACAATTTTAATGTTTAACAGCATGATTTAATTGTTTTATAATTAACTGCTTTAAGATACAATTTTAATGTTTTACAGTATGAATCCTTGAAAATAAACTGCTGTTGGATACAATTTTACTAAACTGCTGTTAGATACAATTTTAATTAACTACTGTTAGATATAATTTTAATTAACTACTGTTAGATACAGTTTTAATGTATTACAGCATGATTTGTTCTATAATCAACTGCCATTACATACAATGTTTTACAGTATCCGCAGAAAGGTGTGACGACACGAGGGACTGTACACTCACAACATGTACCGGGGGGTCCACAGTTCATTGTGTCAATGATCAGTGCACGTGTACCACAGCAGCCAGTGGCGATGGAGGTATACCTTTCATTATATCAAAATAGGAATTAGTGAAATTTCTGACAATAAGAATAAACAAATAAGAATCAGTTACTGATCCTAGGTGCCTGATCCCGTACCTGATATTACCTGGGGTTGGAGTATATGCCCTGTCCAGGGATTTTTTTAAATCGATCAATATCTGTTTTCTTCATCTTCTTGATTTTCTTACAGATTGCGTCAGGGCCGATGATTGTCAAGGACGATGTGATCATGGACGTCAGCATCACTGTATTGATGGAAGATGCAGATGTACTCATTTTTAAAGAAATTAAAAAAATAAGGTTTAACTTGTGTGTGCTTTTCTTAACATTTCATATTTCGTCGTTTCGATATATCGACGACGCATTGTAAATACGAGAATATCAGCAGTCTCGTTTAGAGTCATCATTACGTAAGTTCTATGACAATTTAGCATTATCTTGTATTGTTTATTGAACTTTTGAGCTTAAATACTGTTCATTATCTCAATATTTCATCTATCACTATATTTTTGATTTACAGTCCTCTGAAGGCCCTTGTAGGCTTTGTAAAGAAAACATTCAATTAGATATATGTTTCCACTTTGCAGAGGGCTTACATTATTCTTGGTTTAATCAATTTAAGGACATACTTACTGATAATTTTTCAAGATATATTAAATTTAAAATTATACTACCAATAAATGTTCTTAGACAAAAATCAGCATGTGTTACCAGAGGTTTTGAACAGATATCAAGGAATGAATCCTGATATTCTAAACAATCAAAATGAATTTGAATTACTTTATCTATATTTCTAAAAGAAATCTTAAAAGGATTCTTAAAAATCCTTACAAACAAAGATATATACAGGGTTCCAATAATTGTTTTACCAAGTCTCTTTCTTTACTCCTCATTCAGAAATTAACAGTAGTGAAGGAGAAAATTCAACAGTACTTCAGTACCGAATAACAATATATTCCTGAACTTGTGTAAATTAGACGTAGATACTTAAAAAATCCAAGGAACATTTGGAAAAGTTTGAATTCACAAAATTTTACCAAAATCAACAGCGTTAAAACTTACAGCTTTTTAACTTTTATATACCACAATTCCGCACGATAAATTTAGGTCCAAGCTTTTGATATTTGACAGTTGCATTTTCAATAAGAAATGAACTCGTAAATATACTCACCTTGTCATTGGTCCATGTTTTCTCAGCTCACAATTTGATAAACTATTTTTTTTTTTGAATTTCTGCTTCAAGCTTTAAATACTCCATGAGTTTTTCGAGAACGAACAACAAAAATTAGATATACATGTCTACACTGTATTAAAATTATAAGACAAACCAAATCTAAGCATATAAAAAAAATCTGAAACAATCAACTACAAAAACGTGGTTCTCCTCTCAGACATGACTAAATTTTCTGTCTGGTATTTGGAACAACACGACTCATATTTCGTGTTTTCTTGTATCGTAGCTGGTTCTACATTTTAGAGTATGACCCTTTATCTGGTCACTGTTCTGTGTGTCTTCTTCCTGATGACCTTAACTGCACTTTTTTGATATATCTAGGTTGGTTTAAGGTCTGAAAGCTACTCTGTATTTTTTTTTGTTTTAGAAATTAATTTTATTTATATATCTAGACCCAAAAAATAACTATATATTGGTCTCTTATCAGAATTGCGTTTTTGTTGATACCTTTTTTCAGGGAAGCTTTAATCATAACAATGATTTCTAAAGACATGCAGTAAAAGGGATCTGACTTTGAATGTAGAATCTAAAATCAAAATTCAGGTGCACCCTGACTAAAACAAGGACGATAAACTTTATTCGAAAGTATTTTTATGCGCCCGGATCGATAGATCCGAGGCGTATATTGTTTTTGTCCTGTCTGTCTGTCTGTCTGTCTGTCTGTCCGTCTGTCTGTCTGTCTGTCTGTTTGTTTGTCCCCAAACTTTAACCTTCGCCATAACTTTTGAACCATGAAAGATAGAGACTTAATATTTGATATGCATACTCCACTAATTAAGCTCTTTCAAATGACACCAAGGTCAATGACCTTGTGACCTTGACTGTGGCCTATATGCTAAAAATAGTTTTTTTCTGTAAAATTTAACCTTCGCCATAACTTTTGAACCATAAAAGATAGAGACTTCATATTTAGTATGCATATTCTACTAATCAAGTTCTTTGAATTGACACCAAGGTCAATGACCTTGGGACCTTGACTGTGACCTATATGCTAAAAATAGCTTTTTTCGAACTTTGTTGCTGCCGGGCGCATAGTGTTTCACAAACACATCTTGTTCTTTATCTGTTTGTTAAACGTTCCTTAGAGAATCTTTCACTCATATTAGGATGTTACAACTTGATGGTTGAGAGTTGCAAATTTAAAGTTGTATTCGACAAGATTTCGACAATTACATCATTTGAGAAGTGGGAAATCTTTTCCCTGGACCATACGCTCTTAACTACCAACTCGGTTAAAATACAAATAATACCACTGCTTATTTCTAGCATTATTGTACATATATTATGTTTATACCCCCCGCTTGAAAAGTGGGAGGGTATATAGTAATCGGTATTTCCGTCCGTCCGTCTGTTACGCTTTGGGGTACCCATCTCTTATCCGCAACTCCTCTCAAACCACTGAAGGAAATTTGATGAAACTTTCACAGAATCTTTATTACATATTGCCATTGTACACCTCCTATATATTTTACTTTTTGATCTGACATATATTTTGGATTTTCCAGAGGAAAACATGGATACTGCCATTATATTCATATGGGAGGCGGGGGGTATTATTTAGTGAGCTCATTGCTCACAGTACCTCTAGTTTCTTTTCAGAATGCCTTCGTGTTTAAATATTTTGAAAAAAAAATATCATACTTTTCGCATAATTCTACACAGACAAATTAAAGACCCTAGACAATTGCCCTTATCAAACTTCGACCATCGATATCACAGAAAAGTACTATTCCATAGGACTGTAGATATATAAAAGTTCTCATGAAAGGCTCAATAAAAATTAATCATCAGCTTTTTAAAACGAAAAACGGCGGACTTCTGGCAGGGGATAAGGGGGGGGGGGGTGATGTGAAAATCATACTTTTCCGGGACAGAAATTCCGTAATTTTACCTTTTTCATTATTGAAGACTTAAGCATTCATGTTTTCTGAGAATGCAATAGAGTAAATTTAAAATGACCTTATACTGCTCAGGCTTTGAAAGTTCTTATGTTGGCGTAATATATTCATCTGTTTGTGAAAAATAGGGAATCACTGGTAACAGAAAAAATTGTGTTATTTTATGGGAGCAGGTTTGTAGTGTTAATTAATTTTGAAACTATGTGTACATGTATAAGGATAAAGAATATTCACTATAGTTGATAGGTTTTGTAAAATAGGCCCATCTGACGCCGATTCTATACTGTCTTTTTTGTCTTTTCAACAAAATAGATGTCAACTTTGCTCCCTTTCTTTTGGTCTATGTTCTGATCAATACTTTTTAAATTTTCCCACAAAAACTATTTTGAGGATTTATTAGAACTAGAACGAGCCCGATTTCATGAATTTTGATCCCGAACATATTGATATGAAACCACAACAAATTATAGATTTGTTCAAATGTTAAAAAGATGCATAATTTTTAAAAACAAATTTAAAAATATTTTCTGCAATGTACAGTTGTATTATTAATTATGGGAAGAGGATAGTTCTGAAAATGTTCTGAGGCAGTTGCCTCATAGACACAAATGGAAGCTTCGCCCCTTACTTTTTTTTAACCATTAAAATAATTACAACCTTAGGTCTCGTCTATTGCTGCCCGAAAGGAATATATTGACGTCTTTATAACAACTCTTTTTCGTTTTCTTCATCCAGAATTTATGTTCAAAATATCTCTCACGATAATGATGTCTCCATATGAGTGAAAAATTCTCGACAGGGACGTTAAACTACATACAATTAATCAATATCACAATAACGTATTTTATATAAAAACATGCTCAAAATGTTATATAAATGTAGCCTGTGATGAGGTCGATCCATAGATATATCGACTTCACAGAAAAACATATCGATCGAGCACGAATATGCTTTTCTTCGAAGTCGATATATCTATGGATTGACCAAATGAAAGGGCTACATTAGTTATATCATTTTTTACAAAGATTGACAAAACAAAATTTGAAAATAATGGTAGGAAGACAAGTTTTTCTCTTGTCTTTTTTAACACTTAGAGACTATAGATCAAAATCAATTTGGGCTGTTTAATGTAATTGTTTTTCCTATATATTAATAGAGTAATTTAGGGAATGTAATAATTCAAAAGGCCTACATTTGTTTTATTATGTTTTGAATTGATTTTTGAAAACATCTATAGTATGTTTCAATATAAAATAGAAGTTATTCAAGGCACAGTTACGTCTTACCGATTATTGTATTACAGAACATCAGATTTAAAATAGGGGTTTAAGTATTTTTCTTTTTCAGTAACATCAAGTCATACACTGCAGTAGCTACTGCTAGCAGAAAATTATTTCCATTTTTTAGAAACATCAAGTCGATATGCATATCAGAATCTGTAATTAATAACACAAGTCTTTATGCTGTTTTATACTTGATCATGTGTTCTAGTCAATCAGAGAACTTGGAATACATGAAAAAATAATACAATGCATGCAATACATACACAAAAAACTAATGTAAAATATGTGTGACCAAACATACTTATCAATTACTTTTTATATACTAGAAGACATGCCGACTTTAATCAATTTTTAAAAAAAATGTTTGCATGATACAATCATTCTATGGTATGGAGTAATCTGACTATTTTTGTAGTATCTTTTTTTATAATCTGAAGATGATGCAAAGATGTGGTTAAACTACAACTTTAAATATACTCTTTAATTTCTACATGCTTATTTTTAGTACATTTTTTTTCAATTTTAACTCTAAAACGTATTTTTAATTGTATTCAAAAAAATTATTCGATGTTTAAGTGCACATTGAAGCTTACTTTGAATGGTACACTTTGGCATGAGGACATTATAATTCGTCCTTGTTTTATCTGCACGTGTCTGTAATCCGTGCTAAATAGCTGACCGTTTCAAGGTAATTTCTCCTATATTAGGTATATAAATGAAAAGAAATGAAGTATTATATCCTCTTTCAGTGGAATCATTCAATCAAAGATCATTATGAGGGCTATCTTCCTTCTCGCTGTTGTTGTCTTAGCAGGTATGTATGACTACTGTGGCGAACAGTTTTAAACAAGTCAGGGGCGTAGCTGCCTATACGCCAGCACGCCATGGCGTGCACATCTTTTAGTCCAAAAAAAAATTACTGTGCATTTTTATAAAATTTATTATTAAAAAATTGATTATATCGTCATATAAAAAATTAAATTCCTAAAAGATTCCGTGTAAACTTACTATGCCTGCAGGCCTAACGTTATATATGTAATACCTATAGTTAATACATGAAACATGACGCCGCACGTTTTGGGGAAATTAAATTTGCTGGATTGAAATTGTTTTGTTTTAATTTCATTATTTAAAAATTAGACAAAAAATGGAACTAAAAATACCTTTTTAAAGTAATCACAAAAATTCAGACAATGCACTTGATTTTATAAAAAAAAAAAAAAAAACATAAATATTTTTTAAATATTAATAGATCTATTATTTTTTGGTGTCATAAATCAAAATATCGTGAAGTTGACTTCATCTCGTAGCATATGTTATATATTTAAAAATTGCGTAAATTTTGTTCAGTCTAAACGTGAAAACCCAGGAGCTTCCAGGGGCTTCGCCCCCTGGGCCCCCACCAGGGCTTCGCCCTGGACCCACTGGGGGCCTCTTGGAAGGCGGCCCCCAGACCCCCTGCCTTTTTTGGCGTGCAGATCATTTTTGTCTAGCTACGCCCCTGCAAGTGAGCAGAGAGTAATAACCGTTTATTATACGATTTAACAGTAGAACATGTCAGATATTGTGTTATGCATGACAAATCTAAATTGCTTTGTAGAAGAAAAGACAGTTTTGAATAAATCATAGTATTGTTGTGCACACTTACTTTGCTGACAAGTTTTAGTGTTTTTTTAATTCTTACAGTTTTAACAACTTTTTATTTATTTATAACTATCACACAGATATACATTGGACAAAGTAACATTAAGACATTTCATCTTCAATTTTTTACAGTCTCTGCCGAAAGATGTAGAGACACGGGTGACTGCACAGCCACAACATGTGGTGGTGGCTCCACGCTTCACTGCATCAGAGATCAGTGCACATGTACCACAGCAGCAGGTGGCGATGGAGGTTAGTAGTTTCATGACATGAACATAGGAAATCTAAATGTATGCTTTGTGCTCTAACCTCTTATGCGTCGAATTTTCCAATCAGAAAAAGAGACCTCAATATCTTTATTATTATTTCAGCTTGCACTATGGCCAGCGACTGTGGCGGACGATGTGACCACGGACGTGAACACCACTGCATTGATGGCCAGTGCAGATGTACCCACTTTTAGATAAATATGCAAAATGTACTAACGTTGTTTTTTTTACAATTTGAATTTGTCATATTCTTATTATGTATAACAGTGGAAATGCTTATATTAATGTGACGAGTAGTCGAAAAGTAAATTTTGCTTCGTTGCAAAAGAGTGTATAGTGAACAATTTTACCTTCCGTTATTAGCAGACATATTTTTGTATTCATATGAACAAGCAGAATTTGTGCAAAATCTTATGCGTGAAATGAAGAAAACACTGTGGCCTTCAACTCGACATTAGATATATATCGACGACGAATTGTCAATTAATAATGACAATTTCCATTCTTTTGTCGATACGATATATCCAGGTGAGCTTGAAATAAAAGATACCACAGAGTCTGACTCATCTGTTTCATATTTGGATATTTTACTTGAAAAAGACGTTAGTGGTAATCTAACAACCAACCTCTATGATACGTGCGATGACTTTAAAACTTTTCTATCGTTAATTTTCCTTACCTATGCAGCAATATACCTTCATCACCTGCATACGGAGTTTATATATCTCAGTTGATTCGATATACAAGAGCATACTTGAACAATTTCTAAAACGAGGTATTGACAAACAAGTTGACGAAACAAGAATATCAGCTGTCTCGTTTAGAGTCATAATTTCGTAAGTTTTATGGTCGATACAATGACCTTGTCAGCAAATATAATTTATCATTGAGTCAAATGCTGCCTGACTTTTTTATACTAATTGTTAGTCTATTACTTATAAACTGAATTGACGACGGATTTTTCCGTTATTTCCTGATCATGACAAGGAGAACACGGCTGTTGTGACCGGTCAGCAGGAGATGCTTTCACCTCCATGGCACCTGATTCCACTTCCGTTGTTTTGGAGGTCCGTGTTTGCTCTGCTTCTATTTTGTATTGTTTTATGGACTTTTGAACTTGAATACTGTTCGTTATCTCCATTTGTTTCACCTTACAAGTAGCATCATTTTCAAACTCCTGAAATCAAAAGGTTCATCAATTAATTGTTACACATCTACAAAACCAATAACGACAAAAGTACATATGTCTACCGATCTAGAAGTCATTTGTGCGTTAAATATCGGTTTTAGTCTCGGTTATCCGTGTGTTTACATGTATTAGGTAGGGTGTGTAAGCGAGGCTGGTGAGTATGGACGTGTTATATCTGACGAAGACGTATCTCCTTTGTTAGGAATCTTCATATCCAAAAAAGGAAAAATTCTAACTCATTTGTTGGTAATTTTTTTAAAATTACATAGAATGTAGCTTCTAATATTCTTTTTTTTTCTCTCAACCTAAATATATAATCTTTATAACACTTTTCTGTCGTTTTTCATTAAAAATATCAAGGAGTCATAAAACTGATATTTCATATACAGTTTACATCTTTTGGGGCTCTGAACCCAACCTATGTTTAACATTTTGATACAGATGACCTTCCAGTAGTACACATGTAGTACAAGTAAAACTACCTTCATTCCCACAGTTATGTTACACATTCTGTTTATGTATTGCATTTAATTTGACTGTAAAACTCATTTATGTGTTTGATCAGTATTTCCTACAATTTGAATAGTTTTTTGGAATAAGGGTTTGAAAGAGTAAAAATTAAAACTTTTTGAACTAGATTTTGTACTGACTCTGTAAGGATACGAGTATTTATAAAATGCATAGAAAACTATGCACTTTAACCCCAAAAGTTTGCATAGTCTCGTTGGCGTACTCAGCTTTTTGTTGGTAAGTGGCTAGTGTGTTTCCTACCAATTGTAGGGTCTTTTTTTATAATGCTAAATTTTACATCAGACTGACCCACCTACCTGGATAGTTCATGGGATTCACGACGGATTTGGCCAGTTGACCAATCGAAGGGGATGTTTGCTCCTCCTAAACACCTAATATCACCCCTGAAATTTCTAGATGTACGCGTTTTAGTCCTGATTAACTATTTATATTTACATTCAGTGTAATGGTCTTTATGAAATCCTTTAGAAATCCACGGTGTTCAAATCTCTATAACACACGCGAAACCTTGTCACCGCGCATTCGAATACATAGTGGGAACTATATGCATTTTCAATACTCTAAGAAAACCAAAATATACAATGTTTTGAGTCAATTTAAAATGTAAATATAAGCATTGAATTCATATTTTTGGATGTCTTTGGTCCTATAACACACCTGGCCGTGCCGACACATTGAATACCGCGCATTTCATGCTTGAATGACTTATTCTGAATAAATTGAAAATGATGGAAAGGTCTTCATTTTGAAGGAAAAGACCTGAAAACTTTTTCAGAATTGATTTGTTGTTTCAGTAATATATTAACGACGTTCGATCCTGATATTTAAAGTCTTAAACTTTTTTTGCAAAGTATATTTTTAGTTTCTATATACATAGCTTAATTAAAATTCAAATCAAAAAATGGGGGTCAATACGCTTCTTTTGGCGCTACAGTATATTTAATATGACCTTTTTGCACTGAAATTTGTGTCTTAATTAAAAATTACATTTTTGACGTTTTCCCTCCAATATTTGTATCCAATTAAAGCATGAAACAAAATGAACTCCTAGTTTGTTTTAGAAAAGACACTTAAAAATTGTGACTAAGAAAAAGTTTCAAATTGCTTCGCATGATCAATTATTTGACCTTTCTGCACTAATAAAAAGTGATTTTTATGGCATTGAAAATTAAAAAAGCTAAAAAAATATTTTAAAGTCTCAAACTTTTTCTGATTTTAAGCAAATAGGCCAAATTTATCTTGAATATTAAGAAAAGAACATCAAAAGTGGGGATATATGATGTAAATTTTCAGATATTACTGAAAAAGTGTCAATTTTACGTTAAAATTGGCTCAATATTTTTTCCCGGATTTTCAGAATATATTTACTATATTTGTCACACTTTGTTGATAGAATTCATCAGAAATAATTTAATAGATATTTCAGAACCAGCATAACACATTTCACTGCAAAAAACAGCTTTGTGTGCAACCAGGATGGAAAAATAGGAATCCAAAATTAACAGTACTGTTATAGTTTAAAATGGAAAAATTGATCATTTTCGTCTAAAATACCTTCCGCCACAAAATATAGTCCCTAGCTTAATTCTACTTGAATGGCATTTAATCGCGGTTTTTTCATTGAATATAGTTACATTTGCACTGTAGAATTCAGATTTAATGTTAGAACTTAAAAATGATGCAAATTTTTATAAATAAAGGACCTGACCAAAATCCACTCGAAAACTCAGGATCGAACGTCCTTAAAGAATCCCGTGAGAAATGAGCGACAAAAAATCCGCCGCGTAAATCTAAGGTTTTTAAAACGCATGGATCTGCAGCTCTCTGCTTTATCCGTCCGAATTTTCGTATGCAGAGAGCTACAGTTCTGCAGCTAGTTCAAATGAAGTTATGTGGTAGGTAAACATATTTTTAAAACATGTCATCTCATATTTGATTTTTGAATTTGATTTTTTCTTTGATCTTTAATCATCTAGCAATTTTTATTTCATCCTTAACAAATATTATTATTATACTTTCATGTTAAATACTAAAATCTGATTGGTTTAGACGCAGTTAACAATCCGTTCGATTACCCTGAGCCTTAGCAACACACGTGACAACGGGTAACACAACGGTAATGCCACATGCATGGAAATTATGCGCGTAGGGTTCACCGTAGAATTCTCAAAACGTCAGTTGCGCGTTTGAAAGAACCGGAATTAACTTGGCGTCAATAAAAGCTTGCGTCCGATATGGCTTACTTGAAAACAACAAAACGACAGACGATACATGCTTACGAGTGTAGGAAACATGCTTGCGAGCCAGAAATAACGAAATTTTAATATATGATAAATGACTCTAATTCGAGTATCAAACAAACAATAAGGAGATTAGTGAACCGGTGAGTGTGAAAGCTTTCTATACATGAACGTAAAGACGATCGACGGGTTTTTTTTTTTTTTTTTTTTGCTGACGTCCTATTACAATAAGACATTCAGACATGACGCGTCGGTTGACAATGGATTTCCTTGGGGTGTCAATTTCAAATGTTACCCTACAAAACAGGCACCATTTATATAATGTTTCACTCATTAGGATAACGTCCGAGAGAGTTTCGACATGACGTAATGATCTCTTGTTGTGAATTATAGACAATAGTACTTTTCTAATTTACATTGACTTAGCATGTCAATGACTTTTACCAAAGTTTGACGTCATAATGCTATGACGTCAAAGAGTCGCATCATTCAAGTGGCTGTACAAGATACACAAAACACAATTATCGGATGAAAATTGTCAGAGGAGACAAACTGTGCTTTAATTGTTTAGGGAGACATCGTGTTGCAGAATGTCAGTCTAATTTCAATTGTAAAATTTGTAAAAGACGTCATCATACAAGTTTGTGCACTGTTCATAACGCAGACCACTTCTGCTGACATATGGCCTTTAATCTGCAAAACTTGACCGTTTTCAAAGGATGTAAACATTTTACATACCCAATTTACAGAGCTTCAGTCTAAATTTGATTCACAGTTATTTGCTACAAATCAGATGACAGCCAAGGATTTAGCTGGGGAGTTGAAGAAAAAAGAAGTTGAAGTTAATACGCAGCTTACGCTTTATGAAACCGCGAAGCGGTTTTTAAAAAAGCGTAAACTGTCCCAAGTTATGTTATAATATCGTATAACATAAGTCGAAATAAACTTCATTCCTTATAATTTAATTTCAGTGTAGACAATGAGACAATTTTTCCTCCAGAAAAAGGTTTCAAATTGAGTATTATTTTAAAAGTAACATCAAGCGGAGTAATACGTTTTTGACTTAACTCATTGTGATGTAGGCAAGTACAAAATATTATATGTTCCTCTGAATGAAGCAGCCAATGAAATTGCTTGATACGTCAAGTGAAATTAAATTATTAAGGAAGGGAAAATTAGACTACATTTATTTTCAACAACAAATCAATGATAAAAATACGTAATTTCGGCTTATGAGAACAAAACTCAGCCATGCAGATGACTTTTAGCATTTTTTTTTTATCTATGCGCTGCGCTCTATTAGTCTTCTATCAATGACCCTTGCCTTCTTCAAATCTTAAGACGGTATATATTTGGTGCAATCTAACTAACAAGACATAGTTCTCAAATTACTTTGCGATTGGACATATATATAGCGATGAAAAAAATCCTCATTCTAGCCATTTGTGTTGTTGCAGGTATATAGATTCTCTTTACAAAGCTATTTAACAAAATGCATTTTACTTTAAAAATCCGTCTTTCTTTATAGCTAGTATTTAGTCATATTCATTTTCGGTAGCTAGAAAATACTAGACACCTTACAAAAAAAAAACTTATGTTTAACCGAGTTTGCAACGGATAGGTAGGTTAACTTCGTTATAGTGTGTTTTTGACGTTATGATAAATTGAAGCCCTCAAAGAAAGGGGTAAGAAAAATGTCATGGTAGAAAAAGTAATAAACATACGCTCTTGAAATTGTGAACATAAAAAATTGAGAATCTCTCCATTATTTTTATTTTGTTTTAATAAATCCTTTGTGACCGTCATATTTTGTAGTACTCTATAAAACCAGGAAAATTCGTTATAGTCCCCACTTTCACCGAAAGTAAGGGATATTAATTTGGGTCTGCCCATCCATCTGTCCGTCTTTCTGTCTGTCTGTAACGCTTTCGTTTCCGCACAATATCTCGAGAACCCTTTGCACTTTTGCAATGAAATTTTGCATAGCAACTCCCTGTGGCCTAAAGAAGAACCCTATAGATATTGATGTCAATAGGTCAAAGGTCAAGGTCATAAATCAATAAATTCTGTCTGTTATAACACTTTCGTTTCCGCGCGATACCTCGAGAACCCTTTGAGCTTTCGCAATGCAATTTTGCATAACTATCTGTGGCCTAAGGAAGACCCCTATTGATTTTGAGGTCAAAAGGTCAATGTTCAAGGTTGTAAATTTATACATTCTGTCTGTGTGAAACACTATACAGGTTGTTGGTGGACTTTTTTTTCTTATTAGAACTGTTTAATAAAGGCTAAATTAAACATCATGCATTGTGTAAAATTGTGACAATAGCGAACGTGAATATATAGATGTATGTGACCTCATGTTTGCATATAACTTCCGATAATACGAAGCGGCTCCGTGGTGTAGTGGTATGTCTCTCGCTTGACATGTAAGAACTCCCGGGTTCGAATCCCGGAAGTAATATAATTTTTTTAAAATACTTTTTTCCACTAAATGATAGCATTCAGCATGTAAAATGTAAAAGTTATGACGTCTGGCTTGTAAAAACTCATAAAATCATCATTACATTAGTGTGATAAATATGCTATATAAAAAGAATTTTCTTATGCACATAATAAAGAATAAGCAATCAAATCTTCATATCCATATTGGCATTTTTTATTTGCATTAATATACATGTATACATTAAATAATTATACAAATTCAGTGGGTGGGGAAATCCGACCCCCCCCAACTGCGCATTGTCTTCTTTTTTCCCTAAGCGGGGGACACAAATTCTCTGAATTAGCTTGTTTTTTAGCATTTTTATATGGACCCTTTGGAAACAAGATGGTAGAATTTTGTGTTTCTTTCATATAATGTACAATATAGTATTACTCATCAAATATTATAGTTTGAACAAAAAGTCTATTGTAGTATTTGTGTAATTTGCTTTAAAGTGCTACAAATTGGCATTTTCCTATATAATCCTGCAGTAAATGTACCTGTATTTTGAAACGGTCCATTAAATATACCTGGGTGCTAGATTTCCCCCAAAATTTGCAAGTACACTGAAGTTAATGTAAGTTATATATGGTATAAAAATGAAGATTTATAATTTAATGATTTATCCTGTTTTTACAGAGTACTACAAAATATGGCGGAATATAAAGGATAGGTACAAAATATGATATAAATGATCAAGAGATTCTCAAATTTCCATGTTTTAAATTTCAAAAGCATCTATTCGATACTTTTTCTGTAACATTTTTTGTTTTCCCTTCTTTAAGGTGGGATTCTTCTCACACAAAACTGTATTTCTTGTATTTAAAAATTAATGAAATTTTCACAGAATCAAGAAGACAATATTACTAAGTGATGGTATCAGTTAGATAAGTTTTGACCGTTCAATATTAGAGTCAAGGTCAGGTCAAGGTCATTACCTTTTCCCTGGACATTAAGAATAAAAATGACTGCATCCAACCATGCGATACTGTCTTCTATTTCAAAAGATTAAATATTTTTCTTTTTGCATAAGAAGATATCACCATATAAGGTCTATGAGATGATATTACCAAACTGACACAAATAGTTTAACAAAAATGGATTTTGGCTAATCCGAATTTTCTCTATTTTTCTTAAATTTTTAGGATATTTAAATTATTTTTATATGCGCCCTATATTTAATTTTTTCTTATTTTCACATATGGTAAAGTTGTACAATTGTGATGAGGAAAGAAAAATAAAGGTCTTTTAAATCTCTTTCACCTAAAATATATAAGACATATCAGCAAATATACATTGAATATTTCGTCTAGTCAGACACCAGAGAAGAATCCTACCTTAATAGTTGCAGTTTATGACAACGTCGAAAACACAGTATTACGACGTCAATCTACCTACCAGTTGAAAAATCGTTTTAGAAATCAGTTATAAAAAATTGTAATTAAATTTTTCAACCTGTGATTTCTTAGTTTTGTTAACTTGTGTTAATTAATTGAAAAAAAAGTTGCTTTAAAACAGTAAATACGCTTGATTTTATTTAGAAGTATTGCGCAATGGAAACCTCACCTTAACAGACAGACGATATTTGAAGAACAATGATTGAATAAATTTTCAATTATTTTTTACCCTTCATCATTCAATCTCTTCTTTTACTTTTAGTATATGCCGAGACTTGCTCCGATCATGCGGACTGTACACTGACTTCATGTTTTCCTGGATATGAACTTCACTGCGTAAACAGGGAGTGTACATGCACCCATGAAGCCCACGGTGGAGGTAGACTTTTTTTTTCTTTTTCCGTAAACTCAACATATAACGTATTATGAACGATATAAAAAATACTGAAATTTCAATCTAGTTTTAAAATTATAATATGGAGAATGACAATGAAATAAGTGAATTCTAATTTCCAGGACCCTGCACGAACGTAAACGATTGTCACGATAGATGTCCACATGCTCATGATCGTGAACATTGTATCGACGGCCGTTGTAGATGCAGTCACTAAGTTATTTTATTCAATAAAGTATGACTAATTCATTTTTTGTTTATTGTATAACGTCCCTCTCTAGAATTTTTCACTCATATGGAGACGCCATCACTTGCCAGTGGAGAGATGCAAATTGATACCAATATTCAGCACTGAGGGCCATTGAGCAGGGAGAGATCTTTTTCAAGTCAACACATACTGCGACACAGGATCTCGGTTTATACGGTCTGACTCAAAGAAACTCCTTTCCATTTCCTAGTACAGTTATTTGGCCAGTTCCGAATAAGAAACCGATTCGACGGTGCTACAAATATATTAGGAATTATTTCAAAATCTAAGTGTTTTGTCAAGGTAGTTCGATGACTCGTGGAATTAAATATTGTTTCATAAAAGTTCAGCCTTCCCTCAAAAAAATTTATTTCGCAAGTTACCATAGGTGTCCATTTTACCAGTTACGAATAAGCCGACGGGTTCCGGATACCCTAGAGATTCTTATTCAATTCAACCCTAAATTTAAAAATATACGTCCCAGACGTTATCCATTGGCATGCCTAAGAAAAGTTAAATTAATTGCTTACCAATAAATTATTTGTATTTCCAAAGGTTGAAGAGAAACTAGAGGTACTGTGGGCACTGAGCTCGTTTTAATGATACCCGACGCCTCCTTTATGATTATTTAGGACAAAGTCCATGTTTTACTCTGGGAGACCCGAAATAAATGTCAGATCAAAAAGTAAAGTAATAGGTCACAATGTCACAATGCAATAAAGAATATGTGAAAGTATCATTAAATCTTATTCAGTGGTATAGGAGGAATTGCGGACAAGAGATGGATCTACCTTTCAATATTACAAAGAATGGCAGTATCTATGTTTTTCTCAGGGAGCCCAAATTATGTAACAGATCCAAAAATAAAATAGGTGAACTTTGGCACTGTTAAACAAAGATTCTGTGAAAGACTCATTAAATTCTGTGAAGCCTCATTAAACTTCATTCAGTGGTAGAAGAGGGGTTGCGGATAAGAAATGGATACCCCAGAGCATATCAGACGGACGGACGTACAGCTAGACGGACGGACGGACGGACGTACAGACGGATGGATGGACAAACATCCCATTATTATATACCGCTTCTTCCTGTTTTTCAAGCGGGGGTAGAATAAGTCACGTTTACAATGAAGAAAACATCGAAGAGTGAATTTATAATAGTGTTTAAAATGGGTATTCGGAACTGGTAAAATAAGAGCACGAAAATATTTCGATATCCTCCAGTGTTCTAAATATTTATTTTTGACAAGTTTTTAGTATATGTTAGAGTACATATCAAACTTACTTTTGATACCTAGAACGTTGTTTTATGTGAAAAATTTATGCATCTACAGAGGTTTTTCTGCAGACTTACGCGTCGCGGTGATTCAGATTTGTTGCATTGTAAAAGAATGTCGACTGTTTCAAGTACGATAACGAAACCAAACTGAGGGCAAAAAATCAAAACTTCACATAATTCAAACACTCATGAATAAGCCTTCTTACCATAGAAATCAATTTATTTTTACACCGTTGAATATATTAATTATCAGTCCTTAAATTACTAATTATTCGGAACTGGCCAAAATCCGGAACTGGCCAAACGACTGTATAGTGGAATTCAGTCCGTTTACCTCAATTTCAAGATATATCTTCGATTTTTCTTTCGGTTAGCTGAGTCGGAAAAATCGTTAGTGGCATGCATGTTTGAGAAAAATCTCAGACGTAAGAAAAAATCTAAGACTTGAGGAAAACACACAAAAGACTAGTCTGAGTTTTTGAAAAAATATTTGTTTCGTGGCACAGTTCGATGAGGTAAAACTCAAATTTTCTGAGAAATCTCATATTTGAGAACATCTCAGCGTTGGTGTCCAAAATTTGGATTCAACCCGCGAGGCAAGGACCAACTCCTAACTTTGGTACTTCAAAGCCGACGCTCTTACCCCTACACCACGCGGGCGTGCAATTTTAACCTCAGTCATGTGTTCCAAACAGAGTGAAGATAATATGTGTTTGTAAAAACACAAACCTGCAATAAGGCTGTTCCTCTGCTAATCAAAATCCTGTGCTGGAATTCCTGATCAATTTAAACATTAAAATATTCACTGTTCCAAGTTAAATGTCGTGCTTTTCATTTGAAATCAAATTTAAAGGTCAAGGGTCAACATTGTCATGAGCGGCTGAGAAAATAACTTATTTTAACAATCTGGAATTTTTTTAATGAAATGAAATTTAAATATTGCATAAGTATGAATTATGGTTTTGATTTAATTTCACATGCTCATTTAAAGATAACATTGGGATACCTCAGGCACAGGCAGTTTTTTTTTAACCAATAGCATAATAATAACATGTGTTATTCTAATACTATGGTTAAAAATTATTTCCGAAACAAGTGCCTGTGACGGTTCATACTTCATGTAAGAAGTCACGAAATGAGATGAAATGGGTTGGTGGGTGGGGCAATTGTCCAAGACAGTGCTTCTGGTAGAGTCAGCGGCATTTAGCGGCATTTCTCCAAGACAGACCTTCTGGTAGAGTCAGCGGCATTTGTCCAATACAGACCTTCTGGTAGAGTCAGCGGCATTTAGCGGCATTTGTCCAAGACAGACCTTCTGGTAGAGTCAGCGGCATTTAGCGGCATTTGTCCAAGACAGACCCTCTGGTAGAGTCAGCGGCATTTAGCGGCATTTGTCCAAGACAGACCCTCTGGTAGAGTCAGCGGCATTTAGCGGCATTTGTCCAAGACAGACCCTCTGGTAGAGTCAGCGGCATTTAGCGGCATTTGTCCAACACAGACCCTCTGGTAGAGTCAGCGGCATTTAGCGGCATTTGTCCAAGACAGACCCTCTGGTAGAGTCAGCGGCATTTAGCGGCATTTGTCCAAGACACACCCTCTGGTAGAGTCAGCGGCATTTAGCGGCATTTGTCCAAGACACACCCTCTGGTAGATTCAGCGGCATTTAGCGGCATTTGTCCAAGACAGACCCTCTGGTAGAGTCAGCGGCATTTAGCGGCATTTGTCCAAGACAGACCCTCTGGTAGAGTCAGCGGCATTTAGCGGCATTTGTCCAATACAGACCCTCTGGTAGAGTCAGCGGCATTTAGTGGCATTTGTCCAAGACAGACCCTCTGGTAGAGTCAGCGGCATTTAGCGGCATTTCTCCAAGACAGACCCTCTGGTAGAGTCAGCGGCATTTGTCCAAGACAGACCCTCTGGTAGAGTCAGCGGCATTTAGCGGCATTTGTCCAAGACAGACCTTCTGTTCTTTTTCCATGGATTTACTGATATACAGTAATTAATGGAGAGATGGTTTACAATTTTATGTATGAAAGATACTTAAATAGTATAATAATATTTGCTTTTCCTTAACGACAGGGACTTTCTCAATTAGTAATATATATATTTTTTTTCATTTGATTTGGTGGTATTTCCAGTATTATTAAAAAAATATTACCCCAGTAATTAAATATCAGTTTAAATTGTACAAAGAGCTCTTTGTACTTTGGTAGTATATTTGAAATAATTCAATTAACAGCTTTATCTTGGTCAACACTAGCCATAAGTATCATGCTAATTATCAATTTGCAGTTAATGATATCTTGCAGTCAGATACAGACAAAATTACCACCACTATAACAAAACAGAAGATGATTAGGGAAAAGGTGTCAAACATCTGGCTTCATGCATTTGATATTGCTCGATTATCTGATTATTACTTATAAATTAAAAGTACAACATGTATAACATATTAATTATTAAGTTATATTTATGAAAATATGTCAAATAAAATACAAATGTACTAAATAAAGAAAATAGTGTAATTACTCCATAAATTACAGTAACAGAAGAAGCTTTACTTTGAGAATGCTTCAATATTATCTCATTATAAGTAGGTGTGTCTTAATTTATTCAACAAATAAACTCTCTGAGCAATAAATAAAATCTACAAAACTATTGGTCAATCAGTGTAATTTTATCTACAACAATACCCAAATAAAAGTCGTGATAAAGGTTCAATTATCTCTTACTTCACATCATCGCCAATCTTCTTCAACCAATGACCCTTGTTTAAAATTTCTACGTATTACAGCAATTACTGTCTTTTCAGTCAACACTATCATGTACAACTGTCAACTTTGCAGGATTTAAAACGAAAGTAGAATGGTAGATGAATACCGATCTCGATGAGAATTAAGACAAAGAAAAAAATCGAGGCAGGGTATAAATTCTAGGTGGGCAGGGATGAGAATCTAGAAATATATTTATTATGGCCAATATTCAGTAAAAGATATAAAATTCAGAGAGGTTAAAATTCTGTAATCATGCAGTTTATTCCGTAAAAGATATAAAATGCAGCTTATTCCGTAAAAAGAGATAAGTATGCAGCTAATTCCATAAAAGATATAAAACTGGGATAGGTTAACATTTTGTACTCATGCAGCTTATTCCGTAAAAGATGTAAAATACAGCTCATTCCGTAAAAAAAGATAAAAAAAATGCAGCTTATTCCATAAAAGATATAAAACTGGGATAGGTTAGCAATTTGTAATTATGCAGCTTATTCCGTAAAAGATTTTTTAAAAATGCAGCTTATTCCGTAAAAGATATTAAAATGGGATACATTTTATTATCATGCAGCTTATTCCGTAAAAGATTTAAAATGCAGCTTATTCCGTGAAAGATATAAAACTGGAATAAGTGAACATTTTAAAATCTAACAGCTTATTCCATAAAAGATATAAAATGCAGCTTATTCCGTGAAAGATATAAAACTGGGATAGGTTAACGTTTTTTAAATCATGCAGTTTATTTCGTAAAAGATATAAAACTGGGATAGGTTAGCAATTTGTAATCATGCAGCTTATTCCGTAAAAGATTTTTTTTAAAAATGCAGCTTATTCCGTAAAAGATATAAAACTGGGATAGGTTAACATTTTGTACTCATGCAGCTTATTCCGCAAAAGATGTAAAATACAGCTCATTCCGTAAAAAAGATAAAAAATGCAGCTTATTCCAAA